TTTTTTTTTGTTTTTTTTTTAAAGCCTTTAATAAAAGTCTTCATTAAAAACCTATGAGAAGCCCCAGTGAGCTTCCACTGCTCAGAATATTGCATATAAAAACACTTTCGGCTGCACTGTCAATGCTCCACAGTATCAATTATGGCACGTTATCTAGTGGCAGCAATGGTACGGGATATTGCATAAGCAAAGAGAAAATGGCTACAAGGACAAAGAGCTGGATGGGGCCGTGCCTGGAAGAAACAGCCGGGTACATTGTGCTGTCACAGAGGGTGCTGGGGACACACAGGGTGGGGACAAAGCTCAGCAAAGCGACACACGCGTGCCGTACACCCACCCAACTCCCTCCACACACCACGGGCGTGCAGGTGGGGATGGAGGAACGGGAAGGGCAAGCAGAGAACAGGGCAGTGGGCTCTGGAGCTGCCACATCTGACTGAGTGAGCTCTTTGACTCCATGGCCCAGGCCTTCCCAGGGAAAGCGAAGCCACGCTGCCACCAGGACACCGACATCATCATAAAGTGCTAATTTGGGAAACAGGGCAAGCAATGCCAACAGCACAGCCCCTCTGCCTCATGGGGCCGGGGGCTCTTGGGCAGGAGCGGAGCAGCTGCAGAGCTACGAGAGGCAAAGGGGCACACACCACCCAGCCCACAGGGACACAGGACACAACCCTCACCCAGCCAAGGGCTTGTCATGCCTCTGCCTCAGGGGAGACAGCAAGGTTTCATCGATCCAAAACATCGGGGCAGCCCGGGGCATTTCGCTATCCCACTATTTACTTCCAGGCACGGGCCAGGTTTACAAGCAAGACATCTCCACAAAGCTCAGACAAACAAGGGGGATTCAGGCAGGTACTCAAGGCCTTTAGCCTTGGATATGGCCTCTACTCTGTAGTCACTACTGAGCACAGGTTACAACACTGCTCATGGGAATCAGCCACACAAGGTGCCTAATCCCACTACGGGGTGAACCAGACCTAGCGGGGAGTGTGGACAGGGCTGGCAGGAGACAGCTGCAAATACCAGTTTTTGCACAAGAATTGCATTTAGCCACTCTCAAGCACATTTTGAAATGTCTTTTAACTGGCTCTCTCCACAGCCCTGCACTGGGAGTGCAAGGGGCTGCAGGAATTGATTTACCAGGAGTGTTGAAAGGATGGAGCTGGGCACAACAGAAAAAGGAAAGGCATTTCAGTCCTGCTGTATGTGATTAACTGAGCAAACAACATAATAGCACCATGTGTGTTTGTAGGATGGCCAAGGCCTTTCAGGGTGAGGAGGATGCCAGAGGCAGGACCCTGCACACTCGATGCCAGGAGCACAGGGGGATGCCCTGTGCCCCTGGGGGATGGCTGTGGATGCTCCTTCCCCCATCTGGCAGTTTGTCCCACTGCCATCACTGCCACAGCCCCAGACACACACCCAGCTCCGACCTTTCCAGCAATATTTGGCGGTCTACAGGCTCACTGAAGACCCACCTCCCCACTTGCAGGTTATGGAACACAGAGCATTTACAAATACCAGTGCAAAAAAACAGGAAAAACACCCCAAATACAAGAGCTCAGCAGAGACATAATCTGCTCTGCTCCTGCTGCTCAGAGCGTTTGGACACTCGCCTTGACCTCGGCGCTGCGGGGCACCTGCGCCAGGAGCTCTCTGTTCCCCTCGGAGGGAGCGTTGGCAGCCAGTGCCAAGGGGTTCCGGCTAATCACCAGGTCCAGCTTATCTCCAGCCTCTGAAATCAAGGGAACGGCCAGACAGCAGTCAAAGTCTCTCGTTCGGATGTGGTTTACCTGCCGGGATGGATTTAGGACATGCCATGGGGAGGAACAACAGAAAGACCATGTTTGTTAGTCAGCAAATGCAAGATTAGTGCTAAACCCCAGCTGGAAAAAAGACACAACTCTTGGGGGTCCCTGATTCCAAGTTCACAATGGAGAAGAGTGAAGCAACCCTTTGCTCTTCCCCATTGTGCATTCATGCTCAAGAATGAGCATCCATGCTTAGCTGAGGAATGATGCAGTAACTGATAGAGGAAGCGGGGAAAAAAGTCTGGACAAGGCATGAACCCTCACCCCCGGTGCCTGGAGCAGTATTACAAGTATTAAACACTGCAGGGCTCAAAACCAGTTCTCCTGTTCAAGCCTGTAGAAAAAAGTGTTGCCATTTTCCATTATTTTTTTGCCATAATGGCTTTTACTGGCCTTATATTAGTGGTGCCAAGTATTCAGCACATAGAAAACAAATAAAGGCTTCTGGCAATCATTTTCCAGCTCAGCCAGAGGTAAACCCAGAATGTACCAAACAGTTTCTGCTTCCCCTCTCCCCATTTATACCCTTCATTTCACAGGAGTCTGGATGCATTTCATGTGGGCTCAGAAGGCAGCTGCAAATTCTCTCTGTAGGATTCAACAGTGAAAGCAATTACTGCTGGCTCTTGCAGGCCTTCAAGCGCATTTCTAGGCTGGGTCATCTGGAGAAACCACCCCAGCTCTCTTGCCTACAGCTACCAGAACACCTGGGCTTGGTGCCATGACAGCCCTGGGACAGAGCAGGCTGGCAAATAGCACAGGGATGGGAAGTGGGGAAGGGGAAAAGCAATTTCCCATACGCCTTTGGAGTGAACATAACCCCTGAGGCCAGGTTTTGCTTCCTTTTTTGGGTAAGGGCTGAGTATTTGGCTCCATACAACCCTTCCATCCCAAGCCCCTTTCCCAGAGTTAATGCATGCCCACAGTGCTGGGTCCATGAAAGCAGCAGTGTCCCCCCACCCTAGCCAGTGTCCGCACAGAGACCCCAGTACTGCCCCTTACAGCAGAGGGACAATTTGTAGCCCACTCATGGACAAGGAGAGATAAACCACGAGCTGGCTCTGCCCCTGCTCTGTGCCAGCCAGGCAGCTCCAGTGCAGAAGTGCCACGAGTGCAATGCCATGCTCCAGTTAATCCGTGCAGCCAAGAGGCGGAGGGTCTGTGACAGCAGGGATGAGGTGTTTCACTGGCTTTCGGGCACATCTTTGTGCCCACAATCAGCAGCACTCTGCAGCATCCTCAGCAATTCATCTCTGCACTTCTTGAGGGGAGTCACCTATGGCACGTCTGCAATCCCTCGTTCCCAGCTCCACTCGTAAACGCAGTGGCAGCCTTGTGTGCCCGCAGGTGTGAGCTGTGCGGCACAACGTGTGGAAAAAGGGTGTCCAAAGTCTCCATGCTGCTCTGTTTAGGATTTTGGGCACACCTCCCAGAGCACTTGGCACTCGCAAAAAAGCAACACGTCCAACATTGTACAGAAAGGCAGCCCAGAGCCTAATTAGCTTCTTGTTCATTCTTGCACCATCTTTTATTTGAAGCTGAGAAGGAATAATTGTATAGCAGCCAGCTGGCTAGAGACCATAACAAGCTTAAACAAGGTTCCCCACAGTGCTGCCAGTCCTCCAGTTACCTGATGTACATAAAGTATTGGCTCCAATCCGACTGCTAAGAACCCCCGCCTAGAAATTAGTAAAACTAAACATCTGAGTGTTTCCAAATATGGTCACAATATCTGCATTTCCAAATGGTGGCAATTTTTCCACAGAGGTTGCACTTCCTTCAGTTGCTGTTTGAGTTGCCCCAAAGCTAAAATAGTTGGTTTTCATCCACACAGAGCTTCTCTCCAACCTCCAAAACTCACCAGGCTTTTTCTGTCCCTTTCTGTCCAATATGCTCAGGGCACATTTATTACAGACTGTGCTTTTGACCAGAGTTTTTATTCTGTTTCTGCATCAGCTATTTCAGATGAAGCATTTTTCAAAGAAAAATATCCATAAAAAATACCTTGCTTGAAGGATGTGTTTCCTAGAAAACTCTTCTAGTTGTCAAAGGCATGCACAGAACTTCATGAACATCACTTAATTCCACAAGGGGCTTCACAGGAACACATATTGGTCAATACAGTCTGGTTCATCCAAATACCAGGAATAGGACTGAGGGTGAGGAAAGGAAGCAACATAGCTTTTTGCTTGTTTTGAGCTGTCCAAGCTCAAAAAGGCCAGTGCCAGAACAGGCTGTGCCCTGGACCAGTGTAACCTAGGAGTACCACCTGGGGTACCACCTGGAGGTACTACCTAGTGACTTCTTATTATAAAACACAGGTCCCATTGAGTGTTGGTGGCTAAGAGCTCACCTAGTTGGCTAACTATTACCTTTCATTAAAGTTAGTGCTGCCATGGATGGGTCTCACTTCTCTCTTCCTCTCAGCCACTCATTCACTCCGTCCCAGCCTCCAGAACTGCATTTTGCATTTATTACCTGAAGCACTCTGTCATATGGCTTGAGGCCACACTGATCTGCTGGCCCATCCGGACGGACCATATTTACATAGACACCTTTTTCTAACAGGCCATCCGACAAACTGAATCCAAAGTCTTCGCTCTCTGGGTCTTTGTGGAGTGTCATCTGGAGAGGCAGAAAGAGAAGAAGCAGGTTTCAGTGCAGCAGAGTAAGGAGGGGATGTACAAAGTTGCCAGGATGGGAACAGCATGAGTAATTTGTGCAGATCTACAGGTCTCCTGGGCAGGTTTTTCTTAGCCTGGGCAGGTAACACAGACTGAGCCTTATTTACCTGACACCATCATCACAGGAGAATAGCTTTCAACCCCATGACAGTCCCTCAGCCTTGGATGTGGAAGGAAACACAAGCAGTGTAATACAGACAGCACTCATGTTTCACCCAAAGAGCAGCAAACAAGTGTTTTTAATGGAGCATCGCCTTCACTGGGCCAGGTTATGCTGTGTGTCCTCTGTGTGTGCCAGAACAGCACACGGAAAATCAACATGTTTTACTGGGAATTTTAAATGTAGTGAGTCAAATGTGAAGACAGCTCATTTTTAATACATTACTCAGCAGGAACATCTAAAATTTTCCATATTATTCACAAGATTTTTTCAGAAAATTCGTATCAGTAAGCGCTGACGCTCTGAGGACAAGAAATTAGCAACCTCATCAACCTTCCCTTGGGCACATCATGCTTTGGCCTTGTCTAAAGGAGGAGAGCACTGCTGAAGTGTGTCTTGCCATGGGATAACACCGGGAACCAGGGACAACTGATTCCCCAACACTCCCCTTGCCTCCCATGAGCTGGGAGCATCTCTACCATGGATCACACTCCATGACTCTTCTCCTGGCTGGATGAGCCTCATGGATCTGCGGTCCTGGGGAAGGAAAATGCTCAGGATGACGCACAGGAGCATCCCACCTGCCCTCAACCTTATTTCCAAACACAGCCAACACCAGATGCTCCAGCAGAATGAAGAGTCACCCTATAACATGCCTAATTACAAGCTCTCCTCCTTCAGGTACCAAGGAGTTTTATTTAAAGACACATTTGCCATGCCCTGAAGGGCAAACACAGATCAAACATGAAAAAGTTGATTTTTCCAGCTAGCATAACTGCAGGTTTCGTTCTGAAGTCACATTAGGAAAGAAAAAGGCAATCAAATATTTGAAACCTCTCCAGCTCCCTTCCCTGCTTGCATTCTACATCAGCAGCTTCTACAGTTAATTACTTTTCCTAATTACCATTGCCTTGCACAATGGTTAAACTGGCTACATTCAGCTGGGTGCTGAAATCAAACCAGTATCCCATCACCGAAGTGAAGTTAAAGTGGAGGGAAAATAAGTAGTTTTTATTTGAGAAGTGGCCTACTAAATGGAGCGTACCACAGGAAAAGAGCTGATGGGTCTCCAGGGGGCCATACTTTGAGCTCTCTCACTTTTATCTGTAGCACCAATTAACAAACTCCAAAACAAAAGGACCTGGAAATCTTATATATAAAGAGAAATAGCAAAGCCCAGGTTTGAACCCTGCTGAATGATGGCAGCTAAATACCATTACTCTTCTGAAGGGTCTCCTTCATCTTAATCTGACCTTTCAGAAACCTTTTCTACAGACCCTGGTGAGGGGCAGCTTTAACAAGGACCAATATCTGGGGGTCCATCTGAGCAAAACAGACTTTTTACAAGGTTGCAAAGGATCTACAGCTTTAACCACTGAGGTACTGCAGTGCCACAGCTACACCTTCCCTTGGTGACACAAACCTTGTGAAACTCAAGGGGGGTCGGGGACATGATTTCCTGCATCTCCTTCTCGATCTTCTTCATGTCCAGGTTCCTCTCGTTCTTCTTGGCAGGGGAGCTGCTGCCCTCAGTCTGTCCGTCGGTGCAGCTGGAGTTGGCTTTCCTCAGTGGGCTCATTCCCGAGGGGTTGACAGAGTCCAGGAGCAGCTTGCTGCCCTCCAGGCCCAGGTTGTGCACGCTCCCTGTCATGATGGATGCCTGCAGGGCGAGGGCACAAGGTCACTCTGCAGAGTCAGCAGCAGGAAGAGCCGGTCCACTCAGCCACTAAAGCGCCACAGACAACACGGCAGCACCACTGCTCTCATTAATCTGAATTTAAGTACCAAGAAGCTCCTCCTGTTGGCTGTAAGAGCCATTCCCAGACCTTGGGAGCCTGCTTCCAGGTCTGTGGCTGAGCCATTTTGTGCTCTCCACTCTCACCCCAACAGGGAGCTTAATCTCAGAAGGAAGCATTTGTGTCTTATTTTCACACAGACCCTTCTACACAAACAGGGCCAGGCAGGCCTCATCTTGTGCATGAACCATCTTGATCTCAGGATCAGCTTCCTCAGGGAGCTCCCAGAGGAACGGTGTCTGCCTGGTTCTCCAGCCTACCTCTGCAGGCTGCAGCTCCCCTCCAGCATCACACAGTGCTGGCAATGGCCCAGGGGAATCAGTGCCTTGGACTCCACTGAGGGCAATTCAGCACAAAAATTAGGATTTTATCTGTCAGTAAATAGGAACTGCCACTGAGCAAAACTGAGTTAAAAATATGAAATTAAGTAGTATTTAAGCCTGGTCATCCTTGATAACATCCATTAAAAGATGCCCCTAAGTAGATTCAACTCCATTTGGCAATGCTTTTCTCTAATGAGATTATGTTGATCAAAGCTAACAAAGGAGTCAAGAATCTAGTCTGTGGAACCTCAACTGGCTCCAGGTCATAGAGTCCATTTAAACAGTATAATGAAACCTGTAATTTCAAAGTTCAAGTTCAAAAGGTCTGCAGTCCCAATAAATGTCAAAAGGTAGAAGAAATGAAAGAAAAGGTAGGGAGCAGACAGCAAAATTCTTCAACACTAAATGTGCTAAGTCAAAGAGCAATTGCTCCTGTGCACAGGAGAAATATCATCCAATTAAATCTCTAATCAAGACCCTCCAGCTCTTTGCTCCAAGGTAGAACAAAGGCAAATAAAGTGAATTATGGTGGTAGTAGGAAAATGCGAGCACTACCCATGTTATCTCGAAAAGGATTGGATAAAATGCAGAAAACCTTTCAGCTTTGCACTTTTCAGGTCTTCACACATGACTTCATCAGCTCAGGTTTGGGCAAAACTCAAATACCTGCTACGTGGAAGGACACTGACTTACCACATACTTGAAAGGCAGACTAACAAACAACAGCACAGCCAGCCAGGGTACCTTTGGTCACTGCCCTCGGGTAGCCTCAGCCCCCAGGATGCTGTGCTGTGCTGTCCCAGCACAGGGAGGACAGAAAGGTCTGTGCATACCATGCCACTGCCCTCCCCCACGAGCTGCAGATACCACAACCAACCAGGACCCAAAAGCGTTGGACTCCTTCTCCATCTTCACGGCATTTAAATCCTCCGTGCAGAGTCATAAGCAATTTCCTAAGGTTTTTTCCATAAGCTTTAGTGCAAGCAGCAAAAAAGGCAATTTCAGACTTCTCCAGCCTCTCTTTGCTCTGCATTATTTTTACTGCCTTGGCTGCCCTCAGAGCAAAGTGGAGACACACTCTTTACTGGGAAAAGTCTGTTTCGTCCCATACTCACAGCCTGGAAGAGGATTCTGATTGTGTGTGAACCTGTTTCTAGGCAATCATGGGTCACCTTGCACAACTCTTCATATTTAAAAGCAAATTATGAAGGGCAAATTTTTTAAAAAAATACGAACAAATCAAATCTCTGACTGTCATAAAATCACAGGAGGCTGAGTGTTGGGGTAAGAAAGCTGAAATACAGAAAAGGCCCCAATGAGTGCTGCACATCCTACAGCACACTTCAGAAAGTGAAGCACGTGGAGAGGCAGGAATAGATCAGCAGTATTTTGAATTTGATAAAAGCAGAGTTGAACCCAACAGATTCCTGCTAAAATCAGAGACTTCCCTTCTGTCCCCAAAACTTTCAAAATATTCTAGAAATGTGCTTAATACACTGAAACCCTGGAGGTGCTCAGCTTTTACTAAGATTCCTTCACATGTTTAAAAACATTTCTGTAACTGTCAAAGCTCCAAACAGAATAAAACAGCAATTGTACCACAGATCCTGGAAAACAAAAGAGAGTCCAACAAATCCCTTCTTTTGCATTTAGATACCAGCAGAAAAGAAATATTTATGCATCATTTTAGAGAGGTACTTTCTCTAAAGCACTCAACAGCTGTTCAGAAAGATTGGGAACAGCTGCCTAAACTCACTTCTAAATACATTCAGATCCAGGAAATAAGTGATCAAGGGAAAAAGTTATAGTCTGGGAGGACTGGGGATTTGGGGTTTTGAGTGTTTTGTGGGGTTTTTTTAAGTCAGCATTTTCTTAAGCAGTTAAGATAATAAAAACAGCATTCCATGCTTCAGCACAATAAATTTAATTGAAGTTTCCTTCTCCACTTACAGGTGCTAAGGATCAAGGAGGAAAGGACAATTAGCAAATCCCTTGTCACAATACAAAGCAAAACAGGACTTCCCTCTTCGACCTTCAATTAGTCAGAAGTTGCCTTTTTTCTCTGAAGCCTCAGCAATATGCAACTGTACATAAAACCAGTCCCACAGGGAATGATGGAGGGCATGACCCAGAGAGTCCTCCCCTGTCCTCTGCATCTGGAGGGCACAGGGAGAGATGGTCTTATGGGGTTCTCCTCCTTCACTCAGGCTGTGGGAGCAGAACTAGGGAAGGGAGCAGCACAGGCCCCATCCTGCCAGGCAGGTTTGCTTCCTGTTGCTCATAGTCTCAAGGGGGCCCTTTATTTGCATCCCATGACTTAGAAATCCAGGCTCCTCATCCTATAACCGGACACAATAACATGACCTCCAAAGCATTTTGGATAAAGAAAAGAGAAAGTGGCTTGTGAAGAGAGGAAACACCTTTATTTCTGCAGGAAGCAATTACTTTCTCAGATATTTCCATGGGGAAAGCTGGCTGAAAAGCTTCCAATTCCCTATTTCACTAAAACATTTTCCGGCAGAGTGACAGCTGAATGCAAGATACGTGTGCCTGTCGGCACTTGAGGCAAGCCAAGGCTGCAGTCCCAATGGGGACCTGTGGGGCTCCTTCTCCTCGGCCTTCAAGTGCTTTGGACAGACAATATCTTTCCAAGCAGAGGGATTACCACTGGATAGGGAAGGCTTGCCAACAGTCATGTGAAGATTATTGGCCAGCGACGGTTCGTGAAAAGGGCGTGGAGTTCCTGGCAGGCAAGACATGGGCTCAGGGAAAGAGCACATGCCAGTAGATGTCTAAATGAGGCAGAGTTACCCATTAGCACAAAGCCTGATTGGAATTAAACCCAAACCCAACTTCATACCACCAGCAGCTCAGGGATGCTATGGGCAAGTAACATCTGGGGAAACGGTCTAACATTTATGGAAAGAGCAAAACCGTCAGGTCAGCAGCAAATTCAGAAAGTGATTTACCTCGATCTCCCTCAAAAGTTCAGACTGGCCGCATGTTTCCAAATCCTCCAAAGCTTCTCCAAAAACACGCCAAAAATTGTCCTCATGAGTGGTCTCAAGGCCATTTTGGCGGTTGGGGTATCTGTTGTAACGTAGGAACCAAATATTGTCAGCACTCTTCTGCAGCGGGGTGAAAGCTGCAAGGCTACAGCAAGTGTCTCACCAGTAAAAGCAGACTTGAAGAGTCTTCATATACAAAAGCAAACAATATGAACTTTTCAAACAAGAGTCCACATACGAGACCTCCATGCATTTACTAACGGGGCAAGTGTCCTTCAAAGGAAGCATTAAGTTGGTGTAGTAATGTCAAAGTTCAAAGGGTAAATTAAAAAGTGCCTGTAGGAAGATTGTAGGTTTAGGAAGACTTTTTGGTGAAATAGAGAAGTGAAAGAAAAAAGGATGCGTTATGGGTAAACCAGGAGCCTCAGAGACTGTTAGTACAAAGGCTGATGGGATAGAGCTCAGATCTGAGACACAGAACACCTGAGAAGAGAGAGAAAAACACAGAGGGTAACAGACATGGTGAGAAAATGATAAATACATTAGGTCTCTATGAGAGTAAATAATGCAAAGATGTATATAAAAATGACTGCCCTGGGCTGGACAAGCAAATGCACACTACAGCCAGCAGTATCAACAGTGTCATGTTCAACCCATACAAACCGAGTTTCATTTGCTTTGGGATGGCCAGGGAACTGAGCTGTTACTTTCAGGAAGTCTCTCTTTTTTTTGCTGTATAGCAGTCTTGGCACTTACAGCTGTGTAAAGTTTGCCACCAGTTCTGTCTACAACAGAGAGTAAGGTTAGAGAGAACCTCTCTCAAGCTGGTACAAACACACGTTAACGTGAACACCGTGTGCTGGGGGTTCTGCAATTCCCCACCTTGACTTTTTATCTCTGACCACAAGCCAGGGTCAATTCTCATACCTCTAAATCAAACAGCAATTAAACATGGTGAAATCCTCTGAACAAAAAAGCAGGTAATGCTGGACACTGTTTACTGAACACCAGACTGCAGAACTCAGACCACCAGTGTTCTGTTTAACGGGAGCCTCCTGAAGGAAACTCTCTGTGGTGTTAAATCAAGATCATGATAAACCCACTAATGTGTCATGCTCAGAGCCCCAAGGGGACAGTAATATCACAGCAGCCCTAACACATCTTACACATATCTTACAAGGAGCTGCACTGATGATGCTCCAGCTCTGCACCATCTGGTATTATCTTGCATGGTTTTATGCAAAAAATTTCCTTCAGCTCCACAGACAGGAAGGGACACTCATCCACCACAGCCACACAGCAAAGTCAAAACAATTCACTTGAGCACATGTCACAGAGAGCTTGGCCTCCATTAAATATATAATGACCCCTTGGTCTTTTTCCAGATGTTTAACAACTGTGAAGTCTTTAGCACACATTTTCCTTTGATCCACTGGTTTAAATGGGAGTCTGTAGCAGGCAGAAACTCACACACCTTTTTGCTCCTTGTGGGATCATGGACTTCCTGAAGAGAGCAGTACATGACATGGCTCATTGTATTTTAAATTCACCCCCTATCTTTCATCAGCTTTTAAAGGACAGTAGCCTTTACACCAGGCAGAAACATCAAATAAACACCCAGCAAGACTTTATAAAAACAAACCAAAATTTCTCCCAAAAAGGAATTCTTGATTTTTTTCCCCTTACTCATTTCCTTCCTCTACTTCCAGGTTCCCAAAGAGACAAATGTCCCTTCTAGTTACCAGTGTCTTGCCTCTCAGAGCAGCAATACACAAACACATCCAGGACACAGATGAATCAGAATGGGTTCCCACATCACTGGGTCAGCAGGTTCTTCCAGGCTAAAGGCTGTCAGGGTTTGTTTTTCTCTCTAATAAAGAGGGCTCAGCAGCATGAACCATCTCACTTGCACTTTGACATCAGGGCTTGGAGTCCTCATTAGGGACACGGGGATTTTGAGGGCTCAGATTTGCCAACTTCAGCTGCCAGCAGCCTTGCCGGGAGGGCCACGAGGGATCAGTGACCTCTGTGAGCTGGCTCTCGCTGAGAGGCAAAACAAGAACAAAGTCTCCAGCACTGCCAGCCTTCCTGCCAGCTTGATCATCTTTAAATAGGTGGAAATGGCCATGAGATGTTCTAAGGGTTTTGTTTGGACAAACAAAAGTTAAGGAAAAAAAATAGGAGAAAAAAGAACTGACAGTAACAACACGACACACACAACTATGGGGACTCTGGAGGATGTCGAGGGGAGGGGAAGTTTTGAAGCAATGGGGCTTTTCCATTATGTGTGGCTCAGTGAGGGGCAGTCTCTAGCCAAAGCAGATCCAGCAGGATTTTCACCCAAAGCACAGGACAGCTGCAGATGCCTCCCTGGCCTCAGGAGGTGTTACAGCATTTTCCCCAGTCTGGCTGAGCTGGGGGATTAACTTGACCATGTTCACTCAGTATAGCTTTGTTTGAGGTGTTGGAAGGGCCAAAGTGTGATGGAGAGAGAATCCAGCCACAGTTTTGGTGGATTTTAACATGGATATGCAACCTCATACTGGTCCTGCAAGAATTTGGTTACTTTGTGCTCTTTTGCTTTGTGGCACTGAGCTGTTGTGAAGCTGCATCCTAACTCAAAAAAGTCTGGCCAACACGTACAGGGACGGTCCTGACCATATCTATTTATTTCACCTAAACTACAAAAATACTGCAGCCTTTACATGACAGGACTAAGAAACATGATAGGAAGCTGTGGTCCGTGCAGCTGAGATCACCCTAACTCCAGACACAAATGTCACCTGGCCATGGCAGAGGTGTCACAGAGCTACACTCAGGGTAACCTGGCAATGTGGAGGTGACCCAACACAGCTGGTGCACCAGCAGCATCCTTCCCCATGGCTGTCTGATGCCAAGTGGGACATTACTGGCCGCTCCATCACATTCCCATGCCCCCCTTATCCCTGTGCAGTGACACCCATACTTCCCAACACCTCCCCGCCTCCTCCCACCTCTCCGTACCTGCTGGGCTTGTCCCAGTCATCTTCACTGAAGCTCCCATCCATGTAGGGGTAGCTTTTCCTGGGGTCTGCTGGAGGGGTGCTGCTCTTTTGCCTGCTGTGTCTCCACTCGTGTGGATGGAGGGCTATGCCGGCAGCCTGGGGTATGTACGTACCTAGGGAAGGCAGAAGGAGTGGAGGAGGAGAGAGGGCAATACCTGGTCAGAAACCCCAAATGGAGCAGGACATGCAGAGCTGGGAGAGCCTCCTTCCCTAGGTCCCGAACATGAGGTCACATGGATTATACACTTTCCATCTCAGTCATCCAAAAGCAGATCTTCCAATCTCTTCTGGCTTTAACCAAAGCAGCCTCTCAGGATGCTGACATGGGATGCCCCATTTCTCCTTTCCTCCCCTGCTTCTCAGTAGTTTTATGGTGTGGCTCTGGGATCCACAGACCTGGGAGTACACATACCCACAGATGCAGATCCTGCCTCCAGCCAGCTCCAGCTGTGGTTAAGAGCTCCTGTTTCCACACTGAACCCAGCAGAAATTATGTTGTTCAATCAGCCACCTCTAAATACAACAAGTTCTTCAAAGGGCAAAGGGAAGATCCTGACAAGCTTCCCTCAGCAGTGGTAATGAGGAAGGGTCAGCTCTGATCCTAAGAGCTGCCAGCCAGTTCTCTCAGAATTCCCATGCCTTTGGGATCAGCTGGTGTAAGTACAGGAAACTGCTTCAGGGACGTGTGTGTGAAAGGCAAGGAATAGGATAAAAAACTCTGCTGGCTTGAAAGCAGAGGAGGCTCATCTATATCACATTTGACAGGAGATCAATACAGACTGTTAGTATGAAATCAGACAAGTTTCACTACATCTGCCCCCATGGACTTTTCCATACTGCAGTGTCTTACTCCAGAGATGAAAATCTACCACTACCAAGTCACAAGTCTCATGAGAAGCTGGCTAAACAGAAAACTTTCAAAACAGACCATTCCTCAGCAGTTTCAGTGCCATCTGGAGTAGAAATAAATCTCCTAGGTCCCCTGCCCACCTCCTGCTGCCCATTCAGTGTTTCAGAGAAATACTCAGAACCTTTCCAAGAAACACTGTACGCTCCCATCACACGCTGCGCCAAGCAAACAGGAAGAAGTAATGGAGAAACGTGTAATTAAGGGAGACTTGATGTCCTAAACACTGGAAATACCCAAAGACAATGCCAACACTTTCTCTGAAAATGCCAAGGTCTGTTATTTCACTTAACTGATTGTTTCCTCCGTGTGTTTTTAAAGGTTAGACTTCTCTGGAGAAAGCCCCAGGAAAACTGCTTGCCAACATCTTGGAGCAGTGGGAAGCACTCACTGCCTGCCAGAGCAGGACAAGGGCTCTGGATGCAGGTCCCTGCAGCAGGTGGGCAGCAGGTCTGGGCCTGGCACAGGGACATGTGTCCAGAGCAGTCACTTGGCATCATTACAGATTCACCTCCTGCTTCCAGAGAGAAGGGCTGGATCCCTGGGATTCAGAGCCACCTGGTGGCACGTTCCCACCAGGCCCAGCACAGCTTCCCTGCCAAAATCCTTCCTTGAGCCATCTCCTACTGCTGTGGATGAACCTAAAAGCCTGCATGGCTGTGGAGCCTGATCTGTAGCTCTCCATTTGGGGTGTAACCCCCAATCTCCTGGCTCTTCGATTCCCAGGTCCCCCTGCACCCTGCCTTCCGTGCCCAACCCTCCATGCCCTTCTCCCTACCATCCACCACCCCCTTCCCATCCAGCACCACTGCACCACCACGAAGCCAAATGCAATTACCAGGGAAAACAGAGAGCCCCTGAAGCAAAGTTGCAGTGTGTAGATCTTGGGCAACTTGGCACCAGCCCTGCTCCCTGGGGTGCTGTGCTCAATTACTTGTTCTCAATTTACCGGCAAAGCAATCATTTCCCAGTGCCCAACTTGTGTTAACATTCAATTAGATGGAGAAGGATTGCAGCATTATGAAGGCCAGGGGATTCCTCCCTAATGAAGCCTCCAGTTCCAACAGTGTTCCCAGATTAAGACTTCAGACGAGCAGAGGCTGAAGGAAGATGCAGGGATGGGGAAAGAGACGCCTGGGCAGTGCTGTCCTTTGGACTTGGCCAGAGTGCAGCGAGCAAGCACAGCACACTCACACTTTGCAGCAGCACCCTGCAGCATCCTCCTTGTTTTCACATTCTGTTCTGGACAGGAGTCTTTCTACCAGTTTCCTGTTACAGCATTGATTCAGGATTTTGGGTCGTTTCAAGACGGGCTAATGCTAGCTTGCAACACTAAATCTGAACTGGTATAGCTATTTTCCAGTGCTTTTCTCCAAGTAAAAATATATTCCCATGACTAGAGTATCCTAAATTCCAGTTCCACATCTGCTAGAAGCTACAGCTGAATAAATCTAACCTCAAAGACACGTGTTCATCTGATCACTCACTAGAGAGTTAGAGATACTTTCTTGTAGTATTACCTTAATTATTTTGTTAAGCAAGTGCTTCTAGTCACAAGATATTCTTGTGGATTTTAAAATATCCTGAAGAAGATTATTATGTCCTACAAGGCCTCTCTGGAGAAATAAAAGTGAATTACGGACCAAATACTCTGTGAAGCATATGGCCAGTGAATAGTGTCTCTGATTATGCGAATTATAAAGTGCTGTAATGGTTTTGAAAATGATGAGAACAGTATGATGCCATATAACCCAGAAAAAATGTGCCAATAAAAGCCTAAACAGATACACCAACTCTCATGCACCACATGAGTACATTCTAAAATACGTTTTGTTCCTTGCTGGAAGCAAGAAGCGACACAAATGTGGTCAGGCCACAGGCTCTGGCTCATCTTTGGAGACAAGACCCAGACAGAGCAGAGCCCCCGAAGAAAACACAACCCTGGCTTACCTTGGCTTCCATACCCAGCATCAATGGCAGAGCCATCCCAGGACTCCACAGTATTGTCCACACTTGGAATTGTGGTGGAGTATATCTCAGACAGCTTGCTAGTTTTCTGGGAGTCTGTCAGCTCATCCTCTGGGTCGCTTACTTCATTTATGCTCCCCGACTTCTTGGGGTAGGATTCTGCAACCAGAACATCCTGTTTTAGCAGGCACAAGGAGTAAGCCTCAGGGAAAAGCTTATGCTGACACAGGAGCAAGCCCAGGTACTGTAAGTTTTTAAAGTACCTCTTTAGCTCTTCAAAAGTAGCTGAGAAAGACATGGGCAATGAAGCTGAAAGGATTTAATGCATTACTCTTATCGCAAGCTGAATCAAGAAAAAATGCCTTTCTGAGTTTTTAGCACATGGAATACAAGGAGCAGCCATGGGGATTACCACATATGAGAGAGTTGGGACCTAAATCAATTCACAAGCCTAAATCAATTCATCTTCCTGTGCCTTTGGAAGCTTCCTCCAAAGAAGCCCTGCCCAGAGAAGTGTTGGTTCCTGCAAGCAACATCCTGTAGCTTCTCTGGTCTCAGGGGCCTCCTTTATACTCAGAGCAGCACCAGGGCAGGTGCTGGCTGCAAACTCAGCTGCAAACAGATGTTTTAATTAGACTCCAATGGCAACCACCACTGCTGAAGTTTCAACCCTCTTCCACGACTGTACAACTTTGTAAAAACTCAAAGCTAATCACCACCTCTCCAGAGTCTCCCACACATGTGACAATGGTGGAATTCCTGGGCGTGGAATTTCCCCTGATCAGTGATCAGAAAATGGGAGCTGAATGTGAATGACAAAGCTCAGACCTTCCCTTTCATTATTTTAGTGCTAACAGGCCCTTATTATCATTATATCAAATTTCCTTTCAGGCAAAAGCTATGCAAAGAATGATTTCGCAGCACAAGCACTTCTTTGTACTGAATATTTTAAAGTCCTTGTTGATTAGATATCTTGTTAGCCATCCACACCCTGGATCTCTGACCTGTGGGATAAAAAGCCCTCTGAAAGTCTGCATTTGTCAATGAGGACAGATTATTTTAGCAAACAGAGCCCAGTGTCCTGAAAGTCCCTATTTTCCAAGCCTCCAGAAGATTGCTCACCATGATTAACTCAAGATTACCTTGAAATTTCAATTACACCTGCTTCATTCTCAGAATGATTAACGAGTCTCCAACAGGCACTTGCATGTCAATTATTTCACCAAGTGGCTGTGACAATGCTAAGTGTCAGCAGGGGGGGAAAAAGAGCATTTCAGACCAAAGACCAAGACATTTGGCTACAGGGGAAGAGACTGGGGCTTCCTGAAGAGGAATCAATTCCCCAGTTCTGACTCTGTTTGCCACATCCCTACTCCCTGCCCAGTCTTCATCCATTTGTAAAACAGGTGCATTGCCACACATCTTCAAACTGCTTTGAGGTCTACAGAAGTTCTATGTTTAAGAGTGATGTCACTTTTTCAGATGCAGGACAGGCATCCCAAGGGCCACACTTGCTTGGAAAAGCTTTATCTCTTGATTTCTTCTGATTTCCACAGCACTGCAGGCCACTGGCTGGGGAAGTCCAGCCAAAACTACAGACTGCAGAAGCATCACACTAAAAAAAAACGAAAATACTGGGGCTGGGAGAGACTAGAATGAAGCCAGAATGCACCTGGTACTTTCTGAATGTAATGAAAAAGCCTCTGTTTGGCTGCTATCATGCAATCAGGGAGAAAAGTTTGCATGATCCCTCTTTTTTTCTGATCATCCTTCTGTCTCCAAAAAACAGTGACATGCCAGTACTAAGTATGATTCTGCTTTTTTATACTATGTTAACAACAGCTTCAAAGCCACAGGGAGCTTGGCAGGAAAACCAGAAGGGAATCCCTAGAATGAAGTTAGATGCTCTGAAAGATGAACTTAGAACCCCAAGCCAGAAAAAGAGGTGAAACAGATTTATTGCCAATTGTGTTTTAGAAGTTGAATTAAAGACAGGGGGTGGGGAATTCATGGATTCTACCAACTCAGAGTCTCTTTGCTCATTTAGCGAGGTTATATTTAAAAAAAAACCAACACATTCTTATACTTCTAAAATTAACTTCTGCTTTACTTCTGTGTGAAACACTGAGACAGACAGGGAATGGCAACAACAGTACAAGGTGTCAATCTGAATTAAAAACTACTGTTGCCAATAAACCTGCTGTTTCATCTCTTACCATCACCACAGAGAGGCTTTGGGTTGCCTTTTTTTCATCTGTGAGTCCGAAGTTCGGGAAACACACCTTTTCTCACTGTGCTGCGCCATGACCATGACCACACTGCCTCATCTCACCTCCCACAACAGCACAGAAACCCCCCAGCAGTGGCCATGGCCCAGGGTCCCTGCTGGGGTGAGCCTTCCCCCTGCCCACCCCAGCTCCTCAACTCACTCTCTGTCTGCTTCTTGATCTTGAGGGTGACGGTCTCTCCCGCCATCTGCAGCAGGTGAATGGCCTCGCTCAGAGGCTTGCCCTTGAGACTCACGTTGTTGATGGCTAAGATCCGGTCCCCGATGTGGATGGCTCCAGTTCTGGAGGGAAAAGGCACTGTCAGGAACTCCAGAGAAGCAATTCCTCTGGGAGACAGGATGCCTGCTGTCGCCTGAAGCAATTAACTCTCAGCACTTTAAAATATGTCTTTGTTCCCTCTTGGTACACTCTATACCCGTGACTTCTTCACCACATAGCAGGAATCCAGGTCCTCCCCAACTTCCATGTGCACAGACATATAAATACACATGGGAACACATGAACTCCTCAAATCCCAGCCCCTCGGGAACTGGGGCTGTAGACCAGCTGAGAGAGAAAACACTTCAAAGCAGCGGGGTTAAAAGCACAAGCACTTTAAGGTTTGGAGTCCAACACAGTCATCAAACATGGAACCGAAGGACATTCACCCTGATGGAAAGAAATTATGAGACAAACCTAGAAACCCATTGGGAAAAACCCAAACCAAAATAGCTCAAAATTGTTCATGTGTGTGCAAGCATGAGCTGAGCCAGCTGCAGTTCATGATATGGTTAAAGCTCACCCCACTCAGCTACACCCCTGTGACTTTCTCCACCAGCTCAGGAAGAAGCTGTTTTATTGCTCAGCCACATTCCAGCACTGGCTATTGCTCTCACACATAAATCCTCAGGCTTCAGCAAAAGACACACAGAGCAAACAAGTCATAGCAATTCTCCCCCTTCTCCATCCTTCCCCTCTGTCTGCTCACAGACAAAGGCTCACTTGGAGCCTTCCCCAGTGAAGCTCTGGGAAGAGCAGGCAGGGCAGGGTGTGTCCACCGGCACAGCCGCTGCCAAGGCTGGAGCTCACACTCACCACTGGCTGGACTCAGCTTCCCAAACTCACACTCAGCTCCCCAGTGTCAGCACACAAGAGCAGCAGCCACCTCCTCCTCTAGTTCTGCGGGAGGTTCTGCTATTAGAACCTCTGTGATGGAGCCAGGAGGAGATGCAAATCTGGACCTCAGTATCTTTTTGTCCATGGCAACTTGTCTCCCTCAGGGTGCATCTCCAAACTGGACTGCAGCTCCTGCCAAACTGGAATTTGATATATAAATGCAGGCAAAACAGCTGCTTGGCTTTCCCCAAAATATCAGAGTTCTGTAACCACACTGCTGTGAAACATCCCCTATAAGTACATCAAATCAGGAAACACAGCCAAGCAGCAGGCAGGACTGCTCAGTCTGCAGCTTCTGCTGCTGCTGAGGTACTCAGCAATGCCACTATGGCCCCAACAGCCACTAGATGTCCATCTTGTCCCACCCAAATCAGCCTGGAAAAGTTGTCATTGGAATGGAAACATTTCTGTGCTCAAACAAATTACAGATCAAACTGTGACTGGAGTATTTGTCTTAAAAGTTTCATCTATTGTAGTAAAAAAAAAAAATCAAGCTGAACTGCTGGCAGTTTACAGTCGATCCTTCTCTCACTGCAGAGCTTCAGTATTCAAGGGTTTCCTGGTGTATTCCTGAACCCAGCATGGGGACAGATCCGTCCAAGGCACCAGCCCATCCACCCAGCCCTGAACAACACAACAGCTCTGCAGTAACTGTGGAAGTCTCTCAGCAGGGAAAAATACAGAAACAATTAAAGAGAAAGGTCATGTTCAGCCAGGTATTTTTCTTCAAGGGGGAGAAAGCAAACCAAAGTCCAGTCCTCTCAGGCCCCCCCTGTGAGGCCAGGCAGGCAGAAACTGAGCAGAACTGACAGAGAAAGCAGTTTCCAGCTAGTGACCCTCGTGCCTCTGCATTACTACCAACAGTCCTTAATTCAACTCAAACACAAAGCAGCCCAAGGAGCCATGGGATGCATGTTCCTTCTTGCTCAGAAGGGACATGCAAGAACAGATTAGAGTAACAGGTAGGTGGAAAGGTGTAAAAGGGGCTGCAAGCACTTCCCAGCAAGCACTGAGGTGGCTGCATGCACATGGTAGGGATTAACTTGGCACATGGGCAGTGTCCCTTTTCCTCCCTGCCAACATGGCATGGTGCTGGATACTCCTGGACCAAAGTCTCCTACAGCCAACCCCCTCTACTTGAGCAGGTGGCACTGAACGAGGCTGGTCTGGCACTTTGAAATGCCAGCAATAGCCAAAAATTGCTCTTGGGGAACCATTACACCTCAACCAGAATTGAACAATATTGTTCAGGCATACTCCCTTGGTTGAGAAGAAAGAAAACACAAGTCCTATGGCACAGGCTTAAGCCATCTGCAGGCACTCAGGGAGGGGGCACAAACACTAACATGGGAGAGAGCCATAGCTTGACACTGATCTAACAGTCTGAGCTGCCTTTGTAGGTTTCTGTAAGATCAGACAAGAGGAAAAAAAATGTTCAAGGTCAAGATAAAACCTAAGCCATCTGACTGTGAAGCCTTTAGACTTAGGCAGCCTGTCACCCACAGACAGACGTGTGACAGATCCTAGAGGACACCTTGCCGCCCCCACTGCCAGCAGCCCAAGATGCAGTGCAGACTTTCACTTGTTCCTCTACAAGAACGGCCCGTGGATTTCTGTTATCAGACACTGGGATCAGGTCCACCCCATGTCAGTGCTGTGAACCATGTCCTCTACCCTAGCAAGAGCATGGATTTGGATTTAAATCCCCATCCTTCAATCAGAGCCTGGCTAAGGGCATCTGTGGCATAGATAAAGGTAGAGATGTCAGAAAGGGACAATTTAGGATATCACTAGGAGGACCCCTCTTCTCTTGGCAAGGTCAAGTCACCCCCTTCTCTCACTGACAGGAGAAAAAAATTCACCTTTCCTGCAAGCATCACAGTGCTCCTCACCCTCCCCACGGGGAGCCAAGGTTACCCAGAGACATCCCTGTGCTGCTCTATCCCCATGCTGTTATCTGCAACTCAGCCACAGTGAACGTGCTGAACATCTCCGTCACTCTGCTCACAAGGCTTTTCATTCCTCACTGCCTGCTCATTCCTGATCAAAATTCAGCAGTACTGCAGCAGTCCCCTGCACTACATTTCTGGAAGTAGCAGTCACCTGTGTGCATCCGAGTTCAGAGGAGGAACAGGCGTGGAATTGCAAAGGGAACTGACACCAACAAAGGGGTAAGACTGTCTTCTGATACCTGACAGCGCTTTAGCTGGCTGTTCTTAACCTCTCTCATGCTGGGTTGTGGGTACAGTACAGAAGTGCTACATAGAAAAGCCTTGCATCCTCTGTGGCTATTATTTTATAGGGGAAAAGACCAAATCAGTAGCAGGCAGTGACATAAAATCCCCAAAGAGAAGAATCACCAATGACTAAGTCCATCCCCTTCCTTCCCAGGAGACAAAGACTTTCTGCATGCTGCACCAAAGGGAAGCAATGGAAACGTACAGCAGAGTGCTGAGAGCTCTGAGAACCCATTGCAGAAAAGGACACAGAGCTGTTTCACAGTCCAGCTAAGAGGGAGTGTGGTCTTGAAACAGAAAAAAAACAAAAGGCCAGATTTGCTGTAAAACATCCCCAAAGTCTTGCACTTTACACCAGTTTGTTCAGGGTTTTTTTTGTTGCTGTTCTGCCTGTCAGGCAGCACAAAGTAAAAGACCCTTAGAGAAGCATGAGTCAGGGCTGCTGAAATGATCTATTTACAAGTCGCAGCTCCCATATAGAAAGATTAATTAAGACAGAGTGTATGACTCAGTTCCACCTTATACTCTCAGGAATGTCCTGATCCTTTAAATCCCACACATCCACATATATTCAGACCCAGGCACACAGTAACCTCCCCAGTGGTTGAAGGTAAATCTGCTCCTACGTTTATTCAGTATAAATGCCAGATGCTGGGCAGCCCAACCTGCACTGAGACACCTCAGATGTAACACACTGAGCAACAAGCAAGGACAGGTCAGAAGACACCTGAGATCCCTGGTTTCAGCAGGACACACCACTGCAATGGCCATAAACCAGTTTAGCAACAGGGCAGTCCTGGTCAGAGTCTGTGGTGGTTTCATAGGCAGGCTGGGCACTCTCCTGACATGAGGCGTACCTGGCAAATCCCAGACCAGGAAGCACCTCTGTAGAAGAGGGGCAAATATGTATTCCCAGCTGCAGAATTCACCTGACTCATTGGATCTGATTTTTCCTGAAGTGTCTGCCTCATTTTCCCAGCAGCACAGACCCCACCACCCTGCTTCATGTCCCTTGGTACCTTCAGAGCACCTTTCCTTCATAGCAGACTTAGATGCCAAAGAATTTATGACAGCAGAGGAAATCTGGCATGGTTCAAGACCCCTTCTCAAATCAATTCAACTGTTCAGCCCCCAAACCTCACCTCTCTGCCAGCCCTCGTTTAGTCAAGCCTGAAATGACAATGGGATCAAAAGGTTCCTCTGTCCCAGAGATGGTTATTCCCAAAGGGCCCCCATATCGCTTCAGCTCCACCGTGTAGATAATAGCACCAGTTGTCTCCTGCTCATCTGAAAGAGAAAACAGAAATGCTGAATTATTTTCTCATCCCAAATAAAAGTAGTCATAGGAAAGACTTGCAGCATCTAGAAGCAAAAGCCAGAAATCTTCAGTGACACTCATACCAAATAGGATTTTAACCTTCCAGGCATCACTTAAGGGCAGAATAACAAAAATAGATTATAATCAATTGGAAAGTGGTGACTGGATGACAGGAGCCCTTATCTTTGTTACTTTGCACTACCTATTGGGAAATGTCATTACAGTGGACAGGCACCAGTTTGCATCAGGATTTCTGTACCAGAGTTATCTTCATCCTTCCTAATCTTCAATTTGACCAGGTCTTCACACTGCCTTAAAATCTGCACAGCATCCTCCATTGAGCAATTGTCGAGTCGGATGTTATCAATGGCTAACAGCTTGTCTCCAGGCTCCAAGGTGCCAGTTCTACATGGAGAGGAAAAGAAAACTAAGAGTACATTTGTATTTGCCTTTCAGATTCCACATTATATTTGGTCCTGCAGTGGAAAAGACAATATTAACTTTTTACTGTCCTTGATCTTTTCTGGAAAACAACTATGAGCTGAGTCTGAACACCTGTAATTTTAAAGAGAGGAAGTTTGTGTAGAGCAGGTATCCACACAGAACCAGCCAGGAAGATTAGATAAATATCCTGGGTAACCTACAACTCTGAAAATGCCTGATATTTAACTGATAGATATTCTACCCCTTATGGAAACTCCTATGTGAGCACTCTTAGAAATAAGCCAAGCTTAGAAATAAGCCACACTAAATTCCTCTGAACACCTTGCTATGAGGTGTTGGGATCAGAGGGGAAGTCAATAAATGCTGAGTTATTTGCACAGTTCTCCACCAATGCCCACAATTCACTCATTCTGTTCACCAAAGCAGGAGCTGAGACATGGCAAACTACCTGATGAGCCATAGCACCACCTGGGATATATGAAGCCCTTTACCACATGCTCTTAAATGCTAAACATCCATCTCCTACAAACTCAGCAGGCATCTAAACCAGTGCCCTGGTCACCTTCTCCATTAGCTCAATGCTGTTTGCTTCAGTACAGACAGTTTTTATTGCAAACCTTACTGTGGTCTAAGAAAAACCTCTAGTGCCGAGATCTCCTTGGATTCTGGAAATATCCAGACCCAAGTGCTACTGCTTGGGCTACATCCAGCTTCTCTGGTAGACATTCTAACTATCATGGAGGGCCATTCTGCAGTGGGTTTGACAGATGGAAAATGCTGCACTCACCTGTGTGCTACACTCCCCTTCTTGATGTCAGAGATGATCAAAGGATCCCCAAGCTTTCTGCTTGCAGCTGCAAAAGAGACACATGGTACAAAGCCTGGTGCTGAGTTTTCTGTCCAGGATGGGGGTGGTGGATGGTTAATGGGGAGAAGCAGCCATAAGGAAAGGAGATTTATATTCCCATCACACAATGATGCTTCACAGCTGAACTCTGGAAGCCTCTCCAGAAAGAAAGAAAGAAAACAAAACACAAATCCCTGCAAAGTTTGTCGGTTGCCCTTTGCCCAGGTTAATTTCCTTTGGACTCCTGAAAAAGAAGACACATGGTGTCCAACAGGAAGAGCTGGCATTGCCAATCCCAGCACTGTCAAACACTCCTCACCAGCCCTCACACACAGGACAAGGGAGCCAAAGGCCATGGCTGCAGTCAGAATTAGCACTGCTGCCTGGAGAGCATCCAGCTCAGCCCTGTGCTCCATACAAGCTCTTCTGTGTTCTTCAAGTAAAGTGGGCTGTGAAATTTTCCAGGTGGAAAATAACCCAGGGAAAAAGCAGAGTTTTCCAGCTGGTTCAGCTCTCTAGGGCACTTAATCATACAAGCAGATGAATCAGGGGTGGTTTGTGCTGGAGCTGGAAGGGGTGGGTGGTTTCCAACTCCCTATCTCCTGGCTGACCCTGATAACTTTTTCAGCCCACGAGATGAGAGTACGCATCTCTGGGAGCATTTACATTTTCAAACTTGCCTGCAAGACTTGCTGCCCTCCTGAGAAGCCCAGGAGAGACCTATGACTCAAACTCCTCCTGACCTCCTTGTCATCCACATGCCAAACATACACCAAGAAAGAGCATCCATTCCACCCTGCATCCTTCCCTTCTGCCTTGCCATGGGAATTGCATTGCTTCATTTAAAGTTGACAGAGCTTCTCAGCTTCTCACAAAAAATGTGTGGGAAGAAAGAAACTCACAGCCTCTGAACATATCAGGTGCACGGCAGAGATTAAAATATCTGTGAGGCACGTGGCACCAAATGCACAGAGATCCACCTGCCTGAACAGCAGTTAGAGAGCACCCAGAGAATCAGACAATAAATGTTTACCCACCTCTCTGGTCTAGTTTTCTGTTGTTTACATTCATTTATGAGATTTAAAAACATATGTCTAACCCAACACCTTTAAGGATATCCTCTTCCAGAAATAACCAAACCTTCTGTACTAAAGAGAGCAAAAAGACAGTCAGTCTCAGTTGTGTCAGGACTGAGAGCCACAGTGAGGTCAGACAGCAAAAGAGCAGACCGTGACAGATTTTATAATAGTCACAGCAACGTGACTGCTGAATGGTACAGAGCCCGGAGAAATTCTTTCCCCATGTCTTACTGGAGCCTGGTACCAGACAATTTTGGACTCAACACTCATGTTGTGCTCCTGTCTGCAAATCTAAGGGAGGGGGATGTGCTGTGGAGATTCCTGGAGTGCTCGAGCCTATATTCAACCTGCCCACAGCATGGACCAGACTGCAGACAGGACAAGACACACTGGGCAAAGCTGAGTAGTGGGAATAAGGGTGGGGTTCAGGCAAGAACAACCAGAAATCCCCATGCTGACTGAGAAGGACATACAGCATGGACTAACAAACAGCACAGGGATTGAGACATACCACTCTGATCATTATTACTGTTGCTCTCCTTTTCAGTATAGGACATATATGTGCTGCTGACAGAGCTGTACAGAGTGGGGTCTGAGCAGCAGAGAGGGGAGACCCTGTGAACACACCCTAAGCCCTGGGTCAGGTGGCATTGCTGCATGTTTAATCACTCCCTAGCCTGGTTCTGTCAGAACAATCCAGGTTAGCAAAAATACTTTTCACAGCAAGGTTTGTTTACTAGTTTCAAAGCAGAAGAAGTGACAGAAAGGGGTTAGGGAGGATCCTAACCTGTCCTGGTGGTGGGCTGGGATGGCCATCTCTAACCTGACCAAGCCACAGCTGAAGAAGCTGAACAACGTGTCCGGAGACCATGAACACCAAAGGAGCAAACAGGGAGAGAAAACAAAAAAAAGAGACAATCTAGCAAGTATAGACAACACCATGCCTCGAGCTGTGCAGGATTTATGTTTATCTCAGCATCTGCCTTGCAAGTCGTGTGACACATGGGGGGATCCTGCACATAGTCAGTCTCTGAGCAGAGAACGAGACCTTGTCCTTCTGAAGCTGCACAGTTGAAGTCATCACTGAGCACAGCACAAGCTTCCCATGACAGGAGCAAGGGTAACAAACTAAGTGCTTTACCCATTAGAGAAGAAAGCAAGTTTTGAGGAAAAACCATGCTGGGTTTTGTTTGCAGGGCTTTTTTTAAAAAAGTTTTGCACTCAGAACAGATTTTTTTGAGATCTGAGCTAAATGGAAGAGCCATATACAACTGCATGCAATTGTCCCTACCAACAGAGAACTCAAACTTGAATAAATGGCAGCCCTTGTAAACATAGAATGTCCTAAATATTCATCACAGAATCATCATAGAATCACTTGGATTGGAGGGGACCTTAACAATCATCTAGTTCCACCCATGGAACAGGAACACCTTCCACTAGACCACGTTGTTTAAAGCCCCACCCAACCTGTCCTTGAACACTGCCAGAGATGGGAGAATCATCACATTACATAATTACTTAATGTAAATTGAAAAGGCTTTATAAAACCATCAAATCTGAAGGGTAAGTTAGGGAGATGTAATGAATAACCATGTTCTCTCAAGAGGCATAAGATACAAGGTTAAGATAATGAAATCTCACAAAACAGAGGCTTGCTGTTCATTCTAAAAACATGTAGTTACTGACTTCAATAATTAACCTTTGGCATCCCAAAGATCTTCCTGGCACCCCAGCAGAGTGTCCAGATGGGCTTCCTGCCTGTCTGCTGGGATCAGGTTGCCCTGAGCATCCTGAGAGCCACATTTTTAATCATCCTGTGCCATTCACACAGGGTGACAATGCTTCTCTGTGCAATAGCTGTCTGTCTGACAGTGAGAGAGCTCCAGTTTCACTGAAGGAGTGGCTCCACGGAGGTCAGAGCCATTAGATACATGAATCCCTGGTGAGATTTTGAATGGACAATTTCCAATTTGCCTGCAATTAAAACAGCACCAGCCTAAACTACGTCGTTATTAGAGCTGTGGTCTTTGGCATTAAGACATTTGCACAGATGAGTAAAGCCTCCTTATCCATTCATTTCAGCTGTTAATGTGGTTATTTCTCTTCAAAGGACATTGTCTTGGGAACTCTGCTGCAGGAAGACACAGCTTGGACATTCAGCCTTGCCTCTGGATTTTGTTTTCCTGTGTGTGAATTGGAGGTGGCAGCAAAGGAAGTCAAGGGAAGAGATGGAGGCAGGAGCTGGCGTGCAGAAACCCATGCTCACTCTCAGCAGGCATCCTGGCTGTGGCCTCCATCTGCCAAGGCAAGCCACTTCAGTTAGAAACAGACTCTTTTTCAGACACATTTTTATTTTTGGTGGATTTACCAGCACAAAAGATAGTTTGAATCTGCTCCAGTGGCCCAGAGAAGGCTCTATAAATCAACAGCTGGTAAAGGTAGAAGCATGTGGTGGGAAAGAAACTCAAAATGAAAACACTGCTTGGCAGTGACAGGGCAGTGATAAAAAGGTGACTTGATCAATACTGTTATTTACTTTTTATAAATTGCTTTCAGTCTCTCTGCTGGGATTGTGGCTCACTCAGTGTTTACGCTGTGATGGATGATGAGGCCAGGAACACATGTCCAGTCTGTGTTTTTAATAGAATGCATAATGACTTGTACTGGTGAATTATTCCCCTCCAAGGAGCACCAGCACATATTTCACAGGCATCAATGCATTAAAAATGCCCTTCATTGTTGACCAAGCCAAAGCAACACCGCCAATGTGTAATTAAAGAAATTGTAATAATGTCATAAGAATGCATTTAAATAAGAAGCATTTTTAAATTGGAAACAGCAAAATCAGAAACCAAATAATCTCAGGATAGCTAAGGAATGAGAAGAGGGAAAAAAGTGAATCAGAATTGATTACAAAGAGCAGCAGTGAAAATCAAATCCTCAGTACCCAACTTTTTCCTCTATCATTCATTAAGTTTAGCAGCAGGTGCATAAATTATCAGTGCCTCCAGCAGGATATCTGCCTCATCACAGATCCTTTTTCTTTCACAATCTCCAGGTAGCAAAACCAGATCAGGATATCCCACCAGGATAAAAGCACTGGAGTGAATCAGATATAGTGTGAGTGAGGGGGTAGGACAGGTGGCTGCTGAGCTTGCCCCGCCTGCAGACACGCTCAGCTGGGCTGGTGGCAGGGCACAGGCTAACACAGAGCCAGCAAAACTAGGTTTGCTTGGCTCAGAGATCCATCTTCTCACTAGGACAGTGATTACACTGCTTAAGCGACTTAATCGAAGTTATCCATCTATCCAAATTCCGGTTTTATCACCTGAAAGCAGATATACTGCCTACTCCTTATCTGCAGTACTTCACACCAAGGGCACAGGAATTGATTTGTTAAGATATATAAAGGTAATTTGATAAACAAGCTATATAAAGCATTAATGCATATCTAAAATTAATGGCAAATTCAGTATCTCTTTGAACAGCAATACCAACACACCTCTACCCTACAGTGAATGTCACAAACAGCCCTTGGAGAGGATATTTGAGACAGAAAAAAAATCACAAACTCTCAATACAAAAGGCAATCTTTTGTGTAACCAACTATCATTTTCCAGAGGGTAATAACAAATCCATATCTTATTTTAAGAGGTGAGGTATTGAACGTATGAGAATGCGTGACTATTCACTTCTCGCTGCTGGAGATTTTAATTTGTAAGAGATTTACAGAAAACCTTCAAAGGCATAACTGCATCATTAGAACTGGATGCAGCCAGCAAGATCAGAGCATTTGAGGCATTTGTTCTGCTAATGGAGATGGGTAGTTCAGGCTAACAAGGGTCAAATCTTCACATCCCTGTGTCAAAACTCTCAGTGTCCCTGTATTTGCATGCTCACCATTCAGAGCCTCAGAGCTTGCTGCAAACAGGTAAGCTTCAGAGCTCTTGGAGCAGAAAGGAGCATGCTCTGCTCTTCAGCCAGAACAGCTGCTCTACAAGTAAATGCCCTTCTCTCTGAGACAGAGGCTGAGGTACTGGAGTATGGAGAAAATGAGAGTTTAGCTGGCTTCATGTTCCTTCACCCCTGGACAAAGTGCATGGAGCAGCACACACATGGCAGCTTCAGTGTTCTTCATTTAGCATATGGAGGAGACTGAAATGAGGCTTGAGGGCACAGAGATCCCTCAGGAGTACAAAGCACTGTCAGTGAAAGGCTCACCCCTTGGATTTTGTAGTCATCCTTTGGGGAATGGAAAGGGAAATAGTATAGGCATGTATTTCCACCATGCATCTTGATTTGCTATGTCCCTTTGCCACACTGTGTTGGGGAGGGGGAAGAAACCCATCCGTGCTCTCAGACTGCAACTGGAGACTCATCCAGCCCAAGCCTTCTCCTTCTGGAAACCCTGAGATCTCTGAGAAGATTAAATGCCCTCAGCAAACATCTGTCCCTCACCAGGAATAAGTACAGCCCCTCTCTGTATGCTCATCCCAGAACCAGCAGCATCTGCCCTGCTCATACACAAATCTCCTGGGTTTTCAGCCCTTTTATGAGCATTTCCAGCAGATTTATGGTTTCTCCTGCAGCCAGCTCCATTACATGAATTCTTTCAACACATCCATCAAGAATCCTGCTCTCCCCCCACCCTTTACTTAGTCCATCTCCCAATTATCTCTGAGAGCCACAGCACAGCAAGAACTTGATCACATTTATTTCTGAAGTGCTCCTCTGATGAGGTCGTAACACTTTCTGCCCATTTAAGAAGGCAGAGGCAAACCTTCCTAGGCAGAGGAATTAACTACAGAGAAGCCAGCTGAAGCCAAGAGGTAAAACTCAATGTAAGCAACTAATCTTACATCTGTAATGTAGCTAGACTATAAAGTACATGAATAAACAAAATCCTGTGGCCACGACAGTGCAGTAGGTCTTCTACTGACCCCTTCACCTTGAAAAAAATACCAACTTGCTCCAGTTTTACAGAGTAGGGAACAGGAATCCAATGCAAGAGGCCAGTAAACCAAGTCTTCTCCTTTAAAACAGTAGTTATATAATTTTCCATATCAGAAGGAAAGCTGTAAAAGCTGTTTCTAGACCTACACTCAAGTCAGCAGAACTGAGAGGAAAGGAACTGAGCAAAACAGAGAAGGGTTATTTTTACCTCTTTTCTGTTGCTGCTTGCATCATACTCCTGCATGCACATCATGTCTCTGCAGGAAGTACTTAACATAAGGCTGCTTGCTTTGGTTTCAATATTTGGAACTGGTATATTTATCTGCCTGGTCAGAGGCAAAGTAAAAAAAATGATAAACTAATTTGCTAAGGATCATGTGGATCTACATAGTGTATATAGACTAATATATGAAAATAAAATTAGGATTAAGCTTGAATTTCATCCTTGCCACTACATTTTCTGGATGCCTGTCCTTTTCTCCCTTTGTAAATATAATTTTGTCTTTAAGTCAGGAAACAACTGCAATATATTTTAGGTTTATGCATGTGTATTTCTTAAACAATATTGTACAAACATGTTCAGCAATCAAAAAGATCAAATCAATTATAGTGTTAAAAAGCTGCTTTGTAGTTGGATAATGGGCATCTACTTTAAACCTAGGGGTCAGTTTCTTTCTATTAGCAGTGATTTAAAAAAAGTGTGTGAAATCACTGTTTTTAACAAATTTGAAATGAAAACCTTTCCAACATAAAAATATGTTTGAAGTGTAAATGCACATCTGAAGCAGATCCCGTTCAAATAAGACTTCACAAATAAAAATATGTCCTTGCCAGCAGCTCACAGGTTCATTTTGCTCTCTAGTCCCAGACACAAACTAAACTTTGAAACTTAATAGAGCCTTGCTGGAGCCAGTTTTTGCTACCAGATCCATTATCCCAGGTTGCTCCCTGAGGCCGGAATGCCAAGGCAGTGGCAGGACAGCAGGTCGGAACCCAGCACAGTCTGCACTGTGCACTGCTCCCCGCCAGTGAAATGCCATTATAGACAGCCTGCTGCTTTCAGAAAGCACTTTCATGTCTTCAGACAGTAACTGCCACCAAGCCAAATGTTAAATATTGTGCTGTTATGTCTCAGGATTGTCCTCGTGGCACAAATAGGGGAAGCTGAGAAGAGGGAGAAGAAATATCACAAGGTGCAAAGACATCATCCTGTCAATGTTCCAGTCACTCCTGAGAATCACCCCACTTGGACCAGAACACCTCCAATTAACACTCACTAATGCTGTAAATGTCAAGAGGTAATTACCATAGCTTATCTCTTTTAATGAAACCTAGTTTTCAAGTGTCCCTTGCGACTCCATTCCCCAGACACAGCTGGGTCTGTCTCCTGAAGGCTTAAACAAGACATCCCATTATTGCAGTCTCACAAGCTGCTCTGTTTCATTTCATTGGTGGTGGCAATCTCAGGGCATGGCAAACCTGAGATGATTCAACTGACTTTACCCAGAAGTGAAAGAGGGATGAGTGATCTGAGACCTGCATGTGCTTGCCATACAGGAAAAATTCACTGACACAAGGCATAACAAGACCCCAGGTTAGATCCCAGAAATCTGGGATGGATCTGCCTGTATCATCCCCCTACAGCACCTTCTCCAAAGAGGCCAAAAGATCTTTAAATGAAAAACTATGCTCAGAAGAGAAACAGAGATAATTAATCAAGAGTGAGCAGAGAAGAGAGAAAATAAGGAGAAAGGTTTATGCTCTCTCAGTGCACACCAGGTCCTGGCACATGCCTTTCCTTCTGCATGGCTTGAGTTTGTCAATGAAATAATTCCTGGCAAACCCTGGAATTTAAAGTCTGTCTCTTAGACCCACCACCCTCTTCATGCTCCCCCTCTAGCCCTCAAGCTGTGGGGTTCACCTCTTGCTTACTCTCCTGCCTCCACCTCTTTTTGCAAGGGTCCCCCCAGATCCAGGCAATTCTTTTTAAAAAGAACATAATACAAGTGTGAGCAAGGAAATAAAAATAATATTACTAATAATATAATATAATACTATTGTGTACCACAGATTAAATGATCAATTGAGACTTTGTCCCAGCCCTTCATGCAGCTGCTTTTCTCTGCAGCTGCCAGCTCATGGAGGCAGGAACCACACATCTGATTCATTCTGGGATAATCACGAGCACTGGAGTGCTACAGAAACCCTATATGATCTCTCCCTCAGTCGAGTCCTCTAAAATGCATGTGTGGAAAGCAGAGGCCCTTGCAACTGCAAGTCTGAGCAATACTTACAGCTGATTGTAATTCCAAGCTCTACACCTCTTTTCTTGGGCAATTTAACGTGGAAAGTACCGCTGCTGGGTATGACAGACTCTACAAAGCCAAAAACAAACAAAAAAGGAAAAAAAAGGAGAAAAAAAGTGAGTTTTCAGTTGCATGGATGGTTTCTTTGGAACCAAGAAAACAAGCCCATAAAGCACTGCTTTATTGGTTCAAATAAGGTTATCTGAGGCCCTGTGGACTTCAGGTTGAAATTTGGATTCTCATTAAAAATACATACTCTGAACATCAAGTTAAGTGCTCACATCACACTGTATTTCAAGGTTGAAGCAGCTCTGTCAATGTAAAAGGGAAAAAAAGTTCTTTTTTAATACAAAGCTGCACTTTACTCCTAGCCTATAGCTTTGGCTCCCTCCTGGCTTCAAGGCCATAAATGAATATAAATATTGTTCCTATTAATGGGCAAATATTTAAAGTGCGTCCTCTTCATCTATTCCTTAGGCTTATCTCAGCCAAGCAATGAGCAGAGAACGTTTATGAAAGGATCAGAAGAACCTTCACTTCAGTGCCTGTTAGAGAACAACAAGAAATGGAGAAATGGTCCTCACAGGGTTTCTCACTCTTCCCTCTGATCCTTGTGAATACTCTCCCTTTAGTGCTACTGGAACCAAGAAAACAAGCCCATAAAGCACTGCTTTATTGGTTCAAATAAGGTTAGCAAAAGCACTGGCAGACTCCTACAGGCAGAGAGGAGCAGCAGCTCCTTTGGGAATGTACCTGCGACATCAAATTCGATCTCGAGCACCACTTTGTTGGTGAGCGCCGCGTCCCGCAGGAGCTGGTTGGCCTCCTCCATGGTCCCGTCCTCCGTCGCGATGCCGTTGATGGAAAGGACCCTGTCTCCTACTTGCAGCAGTCCACACCTGCAGTTCACAGCGGGAAAAGAGGGAATGGGAATAAGGAGACAAGGAAAAAGAGGAAAGGAGGAAAAAAAACAACCCCACAACCAGCCATGAGTTACTTTCGCCAGGAAAATCTCTTACAAGACACACAAAGTACTGATATATCCTACAGAAGTGGCCCCAGATTGAAAATAACTCGTTTTGCTGTGCCCATCCCAGTGTCTCTGGAAGGGCACAAGGATGCAAACCTTTGTGGGTTTGTAAAGTTCAAACATTCTTTGCTCCTAAATAACCATTTCTGGTCATATTTTTTGCAACAACCAAGGCGGGAAAAAAGCAACCCTCGTCTTCCTAGAAGTCAACACCATGGCTGAGATGAGAATGATAAACACAAGGGAATGTGACTTCCTTCCCTATATAACCACAAACAGTTCTGCCCATGCACCTGCACCCTGTGGAACACAAACTAATGGCACTAAAAACTGCACAGATTCCTCTGCTCAGTTCATGGCAAATACTGAAGCTACAATCCAATAAACTCACCAAAATGTCTCAGCAAATTAGATAATCATTTATCCCTTCTAATTGCATTTCTGGAAGCCAAATGTACAGCAATACTGTTTAACTGCCTTGAAAGGCCAATATTATTCCAGTGTGATGGCCAGACAATATAACCACAGCTGACCCTTTGGGGCTCTTGGTTTAGACACTTTCTCCAGGAACAGAGATCAGCAAGATTTTTACTTTGGAAAGAGAACATGATGGCAAGGCTATGTTGGAGATGTACTGCTAAAGCACAGTTTGTCTCTTGGGACCCCCCTGCATTTATAAGCAAGGTGTTTTTCACACATTCCTACATTCAGTATCCACCCACACTCCTTTCTTTTTTACATATACTGCAACACCAGCATGATCCTCCAAGTTATCTCCCACATTATCTCAGTCAGCTCCCACCTGGGCTGGCCCATGGCTCTACAAAAACAAGACTGCAGTGTTCCCTACATCCATGGGAAATTGCTCATCTTCCTTCTCCTCTATCAGTTGTTCACTTTAACTATATCTTTTTAGACTTTCCACTTATCACCTGGCTGTCCACTAGATCAGAGCTTGGGAAACCACTCTTCACCCATCACTAATGTAACCTAGAGAGTGGTCTCCAAAAGATTTTTAGGGTGATGGCATCAAGTATAAGGTTCCCCTCAAAATGTGGAGAAAAAAATTTACCACAAAGATTGTCCAGAAGCCATTAGTTATCCCGTTTTAAGCCTTTTCCAGAGAATCTTTATTCCCTTCCTGTTTAATGATTAAACACATCTTTGTCTTCCCCTTTCTTTCACAAATACCTCACAGAAGACAGTTTGCTTTTTACTGAACCTTCCAGTCACCCTTCATCACTCACACCCAGTTCAGTTGTAAGAAAACACAGCACCACGGCTTCCAGGCACACAAAGGCAACAGACACTTGGCTGTATTATTCATGTCCAAACAACAGGATGTATATGAAAGGCCAAGTTATCAAGAAAAAGTACACACATCTGAATTCAAGAAAAATGAGCAAGCACACCAGCTCGTGCCAATGGCCCATCAAAAGCTGAGATATGAACAAGTTTGGAGGGAGCCCAGGGTGGTTATTTTACTGGTAGGAAGGTATATTCACTCTTTGGCCTGTGTTCATGCCATCCATGGAAACCATCATGCCATCACTGGCCACTTTATGAGATGCAAATTCAGAGCTGTTTGTTCAAGGACACTTGGATTAGGACAGACAACTCCATGATGTATAAACGAACCTACCCTTGTGAATAAATTACATCAAGTTTAATGACAGTCCTTTAGTGGACTTGTGGCTATGAAGCCACATAGACACACTTAGAAATATCAGCTTATAAATACAAAGATGGCACGGAGTACAACAGAGATGACTCCTCTGTCACCAAGAGGTCTCTTGCTGTGGCCACAGTGCACCTTTTGCAAAGGAGAGACTGACAGCTGCATCACTCAGACATCACTGTCATCTCGAGGTCACACAGGGACACAATCCACTTTGGCACCACTCTTTCAGCTACAAGGGCTAGGAGCTCAGAGGATACTTTTACACTGCATCAAAGCAAACTTTTACCACCTTTCCCACCAGAGCTGCCTTCTCCCAAAACAGCCATTTCTTGTGTTTCTTCACTCAAGGTGCATTTGCCTGAGTCTTTTACAGCAAACAGCTCTGTTAGGTCATAAGTATTTTATTTCTTTTATTATTAGCCTCAGTCAATCATAAATGTTTAAGCCCTGGTCTTGGAGGTTTGGAAAAGTTTGTGGTGTGATGCCACAACCATGTGGCTTCCTCTATCAAGTGCAAGGAGGCCTGACATGTCTTGCTAACCCTTCAGAATGATTCCAAAGACATCTATTTCCAGCTGTTACGTGCCCTTGCATTGGGAGCAGAGCCTGGGGAGCCAAGGGTCCTGCACAGCTCTCCTTAGCTCTGCCATGGGATCCCGCAAGAATTTTCAGACAGTTTTTCCAAAGAGAAGGCATTTGTCTCAGAGATGCTCAGTCGAACATCAGAACCTAAAAAGTGCTTTCAGACTATGGGAGCAAAAGTGTGTTAAAATCAGAAGGAACAGGAGTACAGGCATCTCCTGGAGTGAAAGACAGTCCTATGGATGTGTCAGAGTCCATGATAGGAATATCTCCCTGGGGCAGAACAGATTTGCATTTTGCCATGACTCATTCCTTGGGCTTAAAGACAGCAACAGAGCAGTGGAGGTGTCTTGCCTGGTAAAGAGCAGCACATATTCAAGCCTTGGGCAGGATGTACACTGAAGAGCTCACTCAGCATCATCCATGTCTGCGTGGTCACTCCAGCTGTGTGGGGAGCAGCTGTGACCGTGGCCCCACTGCTGGATGCACAAACTCACCCACTGTGCCCTTACATGCCCCTGAGCTGGCCTGCACAGGTCAGACATGCACATCTCTGCGTGTGTGCACATCTGTGCCTGCACACTGGTGGGTGGGTCTCAGCCCCTAATGGATAAAAGCTCTGCTGACAGCTTCAGCCAGCCACTAAACTTTGCTTTTGCAAACTATTCATACCCAAAAGGCAGAAACGCAATCATCAAACAACTGTGTCTGAGCAGAGCTAGAAAACACGTAGCTCAGCAGGAAGCATTGATTTTGGATACCAGGATGGAGAAGTCAGATAGTCTCCCTCTGCTGCCAATGACAGCTGGGGGAGGAAGGACACAAAAGCTGTGTGCTTCGAGGCAGCCAAGAAGGGATGTCAGGCTTCTTCCCCTTCCACCCTCCCTGCTGATAACAGGGGCTGAATCACTGTCTCATTCAGAACCCAAAAGCTTCATCATGCACCCTGGAAACAAAACAACAGGTGGGGAGGGAGGTCTATTAGAGGCTGTTTGCAGTAAAACAAATCACAAGTCAGACAGGTAAGAATTTTTCATCAAACCGCTTGCCACAAGCTAGCAGAAAGCAGACAATAAATATGAGCAGTCCAACATCCCTGAAGAGGGTGATTCTGTGCTCCTCCTTGGTAGTACTCACACTTGCTGGGCACTCCAGAGGCAGCTCCTCCACAACAATCCAGATGGACAAAGCCAGTGTGGATCATGCACTTGTACAACAGCACATTCAGATCCACAGGTTTTGCAGAGTGTGTGAACATCCAGGTCAGATCCAGGCTGCTAAACCTGACCCCTGTATCCCCAGAGCTCACCTTTTTGGGAAAAAGCAAAAACTGCAGCACAAGAAAGAGCACAGCCCAGCCTCAGCTGGGAGCCCAGATGGGTAAAGGGGATGAAAAGGGCTTTAATGTCTTGGGCTGCAGCTACAGCAGAACCTCTGGAGAACAGGGAGTAAGGTATCTCAAATGATGAAGCAAAGAGCTCTGTGAAACAGCAAGAAACAAAAAGTGAAATGAAAACATAAAACTGCCTTTTTCACTTCACTGCAAACCCAGTGCACTTACTGCTTCAAGACAGGGAGGAAACACAGCATTTTCCTGCCAGCTAGGAAGAGCAGTATGGTTTAGGAAAGGACGAAATACACAGAGATTTAATCCCCAAATCAAATCCAGGCTGCAAATGCAGAGAGGATTGCTCCCGGTCTCCAGAAAGCAGCAGTGTGAACGCTGCCGGATGGGCAGCACAAGGGTGAGCAGCGTGTGTGACACATCAGAGCCAGGCAAGGCTGCACCACCAGTCACTGCTTTTCCTCCAGGCTTGGCAAGAGGATAAAGCAAAGCCAGGCAGATTTCAGCACATCTCCCTCGTCCCCTGGGACAGCAGGCTTTGCTGCTGCCTGATTTATAAAAGGAGTTTGGTGCCTTGCAACACGAGCCAAGTTCACTCACAATAGAGGATAAAAACCCCATAATGGCATCACCTTAATTTTTAAACCCTGTTTGGAAACAATCAAACAAACAAAGGCATAACAGGCTTTTGAAATCTCTCCTATCCTGCATCAAGACAGCTCTTTTTCCTCTGCCAGCCCCTTGTCCTCCCACAGACACAAGCACCAGCTACTCCTGTTCCACCCTGCCTCAGCTGACTGGAGAGGCTACAACACAGACACTGGTCTGCACAGCAAGGACTTGCATTTCATTTTGCAAACACCTTCCCTGCCATACAAATCTACAACTCCCCTATGTGTTCTTTTTCTGGGCTGGCTTGGAGACACCAAACCTTCAGCACATGCTGATAGGGCCATCAGAGACTTCCAAGAAAGGGTCTGCAGCAGGCACTGAGTACTGCCACGTTGCTGCAGCTTTGGCACCCTTAGGCAGGACAGACCACAGTGGTAATCACTGTGAAGAGAAGCAATCACTGGGAAGAGAAATGAGCACAGGGACATTAAGTTCCAGACTAACAAAATCAGCTCTCCTTTAAACCCCTCAAGAGATCAAGCCATGTTAGGACCTGACCGGTTTAGTAACAAAAGCCTTGTTGGAAGACACATTGTAGTGCACAGGCACTCAAGCAGACTCTAAATCCAGCCAGCAAGGGTATTGGGAGCAGCTGAACTCCAGAGCTGAGACTCCACCACTGGAGGAGTCACTGGTCCCAGTGTCCTTAAGGATGATAGAGAGCAGTTAATGCTGTTCCTGCCTTCTGCACTTGTCCCAGCATTACACAGCCAAAAGCAGGAGGGATTAACTGCGGCACCTACCTGCTCCTCAACTAGAGCCCTAGCTCTGTGGTTCAAAGCCTTGTCTTTATGGCCTCTTTATTTAGCTGGGCTCTGCTACAATGAAATCAGTCAGAAAACATTTTGCAGGGGCCACTTATTTAGACCTTTCCCCTTTTTGCACCTATATAAATGATTTATCTTTCAAAGAAGAATTAAAAAAAAAATAAAAATAAAGGAATGGGAATGGCACTCTCACACAGACACACACTCCCTTCCTCCTCCTCCCAGACCAGCCGCAGCCTGGTGCCAAGACGTTCACCTGGGGTGCGAGGGAGGCCGCGGTCAGCCGACGAGTGCAGAAATGGCAGTGACAGTAAACCATGCCCAGTGAAGAATGGGAGATATTACAAGGATGATAGTAAATATCTAAATGAGCCTCTGAGGAGAGAAAACAAACCAAACCATGAAATGTTCAGCAGCAGCACCATCAGCATCCAAGGGCAAGGTCTCTAACCTCTCTGCCGGGCTGTCAGGCTCAATAAAACGGACGAGAGGTGGGGAAGACAGAGTTTCCGTAGCAAAGATGCCTCCCTGGAGCTGAAGTCCGAAGCCATTCAAAGGGTCTCCCCTGAGGACCACCTCTGTCGTCTCCGTGTGGACTATCTGCCCGCCAGGACCCACCGTGCTGGAGGCCAGTGACACTGAGAGGATGAGAGAGGCAGGAGGTCAGGGCAGCCATGGTCAACATAACAGCCTGGCTCATAGACCTTGGTCTGGCGGTGGTGGGGACAGCCACCAAGGAGGAGAGGGGCACTGACAGTGCTGAGACAAGTGATTCTACCCTGGCTAACAGCTGACACCAAGGACAGCAAGGCAAGCGTGCATGCCCCCTTCAACCCAGCCTGGCCCAAGACTGCTCTTACGTGAGCTCTTGTGCTCCTTCTTCTTCTGCCTCCTCCTCAGCATGGTGGTGCGGGGGCTCATGGGGTGGGAGCTGCGAGGTAGCGTGTTCGAGTTCTGGCACGGGAATCCCTGTGCGTTCATGGTGGGAGATGAGAAGTTGGCAGCCACCAGAGCTGGGGAAACACAGAGCGAGTTAGGGACGTGCACAGGGGGCTGCAGCACAGGGGTCACTCGCTAACAGTGTCACCAAACAACTCGTGGGTTTGGAGCAGCTCCTCCTTTCCAGCTCCAGGGTCCAAGGCCCAAGGAATGTTTGCTTTCCACAGCTTGGACACAGTGCAATGTGCCCTCTTCCCTATCTTACTGCCACAAGACAAGAAACCTGGGGCAGCACAAAGCTCACAGAAGTGCATCTACAGATTTCGAAGTAGCCATAATCCTGCTGTTAACAAGCTGTATGACACCAGGGCTGAGCTGGATGTGTTGCTGTATCACATTCCTACACAACACCAGAGAACACCCTTCCCTGTCCCACAGCAACTCATTTTTGCTGTATGAAACCAGGCACAGGAAAGGGGGGTCAGAGGATGGGTGCACAGGTCTGCCCAGCACACTGCTCTTGTCCCAGTTACCAGATCTGTGTGTGCTGGGCTGCAGATACTGACTTTGTACCTCAGCACTGGGCTGTGGAAACAAAACCAGTTGACTGAGGAGGAAACAAGTGACAAGCCTCACTATGAACCTGAATATTAAGGCAATGGAGGGGCACAACAGGAATGAACACAGGCAGGATGAGGGCAATGCCATGCACTGAGGTTACATTTGCAGTAATCCTGTCCAGACGTCTGGTTCCAAGTGGGTGTCTTGCAGTGTCCGGGGTGGTGGGTGTGACAGTAGTTGACACAAGGGTCCCAGCAGTGATGGTGGTCACTCTTCTGCACCTTGACTGATGGCATCCAGGGGAGCAGAAATACCCACAGGCAGGAAGAAGAAATGAGAGAAAGAAAAGGTAAGAACCATATGGCAGGAGATTGTAGAAAAGAGCCTCATACTGTCTCTGAACAGGTCAGGACCCAACCACAGTATTTCAAGCATCAGCAGCAAAAACACAACCACATGTAACCTCATGACACTCGACGCAAAGTGGCAGAAATCCACCTCTAAAGGTGATCTCTTAGTGCCTTGAGCAGCAGACATCCATTTTCTATGTGTGCATCATAGGCATTAAATCATTTAGGTCAGATTTTACAGATAATATTAGTGATATAATAATGATTATATTTAGTCTTTGCTAAACATTTAGTGAGTTTAGCACTTAGTCTATCAAGCTTTAAAAAATAAGTGTATTCCAGCTCTGGGGTTTCTATTTTGCGTATTTTCAAAATGAAATTTTGAGCCAGGCAGCTTTTAAAAACAACAATCAAATTAGCCATATCTAGACAAAATGAAAAGTTCTTAATAAAATTAAACACTTTGAGCATAAGGGACAGAGCTTATGGGCATATATACAAAATAATTTAATCCACTTATAACAACTAAAACTCTCCCATTTGTCTATTAATTCTTAGCTTACATCTGACAACAGAAAAAAATGTGTCTTTGAAACTCAGCTGTCAGCAAACTGGGGGAAAGAAGGCATTTTGGACAACTCTGTAAAAAAAAACCCTGCAACAGCTTTCCCCAATCTTTCACACATTATCCCTGCCTGAGGAAACCCATCCATCCCAGCACTGCTCCTGGACACCATCTGCCCTCATTGATCCTGTGAGCAAGGCATAATCCTCCCACAAACTCTCCAAGTGCCCCCAGCACCACAGAGAAAGCCAACTCAGTTTGACAAATCCAACGCTACAGCATTAGGCCATATTTTTGCCTGGCCACTGATCCAGCTTCAGATCCTTCTCCACCTCCTCCAACCAGATGCTGATTGCACAAGAACCCACTTTAAAAAAAATATCATGACAAACACCATGCAGGCATAGGCTGAAGGGACTCAGTAATGCATGTGTTGAACAGGGATGGGTCTGCATCATATCCTCTCCTCAGCTTCCTTCCCTGGACTCCGCTCTCTTGTCAACCACGAGAGTTTGCTTTTGCAGGGTCCATGCTTCTTCACTATCCCTATTTGCTAAACTCAGAAAGAGCAGCCTGTGGAGCTGGCACAACATCCTTCCCTATGATCCCTCATGTGTTAAAGAGTTTAATCAAAAGTGGGAACAATTGTTACATCCCTGAGTTTTCATAGTCAAGCGCTGCAACTATTGTCCCAAGTTTGTGTTCTGTATTTCTGCCACTGCAAACTGATCTGTGTATGGGGTTTTGGGTAAACAGGCTCTGATCACACAGAGCTGTCCTTCCACAGAGCCTCCTTCTCCTGAGCAGCTGCTCAATGCACATATTCTCAAGATTTTGAACAGGGCACTAATGGAAGGAGGAAAATTCTTAATTTTAACAGCCATTGAAAAAGGATTATAGCTTTCCATTTTTTTCCTGGGCACAAAGGTCAAGTCATCCATTCACTTTGTTAAACTGCTTCAGTTCTGCACAAATTGGACTGGACATGTAAGGAATTTATTTCTAGACATGGAGATGTTTTTAGGTTTTAGGTTTGACTGTATCAATTTAATGAAGACCGTAAGATATTTTCCTCCTTTCCCCAAACCACCCTAGAAGAGAGTGGAAAGAGAAGTTGTGCCCAGGGCTACTGTGCATCAATATTATTAAAATGTATGTCCCTGAGAGACAAATGATTGAAAATGGTGGAAAAGGGGACTGGTAATGAACAGTCACATCCAAAACACCTGAATTACAAACCTGCCAGTACAGAGTGTAAAAATACTGTGGGCAAGAGCTACAAAAAATATACTAATACTGAGGCCATGGTCACAATGAAATTTATAGGAGAGCCTGAGACAGCTTCTCATGTGGTGGGAGAAACTAAAGGTGGGCAACAAGAATGCTCACCAGGATGAATTCCTAATGACATTTTACAGGCATTTTAGGATTGATCTTACTGGAGCCAGAATTTACTTCCTTGGTAATTCTTTTGTATGGGTGGTGGAAACCTGCAGCTACAGATGGATTCACTCTACCCCTGGCTGCCCAGACACAGCTGCCTCTCGAGCAGTCTGGTCTGAAAGATGAACACTTACATTCCAGCTTTTGGAAGTCCATCAGTTCACCAGTCCAGCTACTGAATACGTCCTTTATAAAGCCTTACAAGGCAAATAAAAACTGAGCTTGGAAATATATGTTCCAGCAGCACGGTTGTTTTCCTCCCTCTTGATTAAAGTCTCTTATCTGACGCACGAAGGAAGTGGCTTGCACAGCACTCAGCACTGCAAAACCCCGGGATTCCCATCTCCAATTTCCCTATTCAAGCACAGATGTTCAGATGTTGCCTCTTTTTCCTATTCACATCCTTGAAGAACATCATCTAATCACATACATTTCATCAAAACATCCATTTTTTTCCCTCAACAGATGTCCCTCTTTGGAATCTGTTGCCAGCACTCAAAAGCAAGAACCCCTTGTAGGGACCTAAAGTGAGTTCTGAGAGTGACCAGCAATGTAGGCACAGAAGTCACACCTGTTTCTGGAGGCTTCAAAGGCAGCCTGCTTTGGTGAACAGGTAATATCTCCAGCTTAACATTTTCAGAAGTGGCAGCTAAAAGCTGAGTTGCCTCTAACAAGGAGCAGTGCTCGGTGCTTGTGCCATCAATGGAGAGAATGTGGTCGCCAACGTGCAATGCACCACATCTGCAAAGGAAACAGCAGGAGAGGTAATTACACACACAGCCAAAATCCACGTCCTTTCAGTAAGGAGAACACACACAAAACTCAACTGCAAATTAGTGCTCAAATTCTTGTTTATTTCTTTTCATATATAATTTTTTTTCATTCCAGTTTGAACCTCAGGTTCAAGAATTACCCAGCTAGGGTTATTGTCATGGTTATGGGCACATCCTCCAGGGGCTGCTGGTAGATCTCTGCATCCCCCATGGATCCCCATGGGCCGTACATGGATCTCTGCATCCCCCATGGATCTCTGCATCCCCCATGGATCCCCAGGAGCCGTACATGGATCTCTGTATCTCCCCTGGATCCCCATGGGCTGCAGGGGTGCAGCTGCTTCACCATGGCCTGCAGAGGAAACCTCGGCTCCAGCACCTGGAGCACCTCCTCTCCCTCCTTCTCCACTGACCTTGGTGTCTCCATGTTGTTTCCCTCACATGTTCTCACCTCCTCCTCTCTAGCTGGAATTAACACTGCATGTGACTTTGTTTTCTTCTTAAATATGTCATCACAGAGGCGTTACCACCATCTCTAATTGGCCCAGTTTTGACCAGCAGCATGTCCATCTTCAGAACCATCAGAGATTGGCTCTGCCAGACATGGTGGAAGCTTCCAGCAGCTTCCCACAGAAGCCACCTCTGTGGCCCCCTGTTACCAAAAACCAGCCCATGCAAAACCAACACATTCATGTTTGAGCCAGTGCTGTTGGTGGCTTCACAAAAAATCTTTTAAGTTTGCAAGAGTGCCCCCTCATAGCCAGCCTGGATGACTAAGGGCTCATCCAGCAGTGTGGTTAAGTCCTGGGAGCCAGGAGTTCAGCTCAGCAACAGGACTGAACACAGACCATGCTGCACAGCAGCCTGTCTGTGCATCCCTACGTAAAGGGCTTCCTGCCTTGTCTGTCAGGAAAAGCCAGAAGTTTTTGTAATAGGCCTTAGCCATTTCATAACTTCAGGGCAGTCAGACCTGAGGTTTTTAAAGCTCAGCTTTCACATGCACTGAGTTACCTGCATTCCTGGTGAGGAGTGTCCACTGCTGGTGGATCAGATATTTTTAGCACAAACAGTTCTAAGAACATGTGGACATGAAGATTTCAAGGCAAGACTGAAAAGAATGGTTTATAACTAAAAGGGGACAAAAAAGCAGTAGGGAAAGGAAAAGCAGAGCTAGGAGCAGCCTGTTCAGATCTGTACCTGTCCACCACGCTGGCTGGCTTGATCTTGTCGATGACAATGACCTGCTTGTTCCGATGCATGGCTGTGGTCAGTGTGATTCCCAGCGTAGACCCTGGAGTCTTTGCTATTTCAACTAGCAAAGGACCAGAAGCATTTGCTACAGTATCTGCAAAACAAGAGAGCACCTGAAGACACTTCTCATACAGCCCTTTCCATCTCTAAATGCAGGGGTTGGCCAACAGTGCTGACTTGCCATGTGAAGCAGCAAATCTTTAGCTTGGACATCTATGGTCCATGTCACATGGTGACTCAACAAAGAAGAACACTCAAGAAGCAAAATTGCCTCTGCACAAAATCTACATGATAATGAAGACTAATTAATGATCATATAACAATTCACTCATGGAAAGAACTCTCCTCTCTCTTTTCTTTGGATTAAATAGCAATATTGAGGAATAGATTGCTCAAAGGCTCTGCAACAGTCACATCAATGGTGTTACAAGCACAAAAAAGGAAGATCATAATGACATCACTGTTACTGGCTTTTTCCCAAACAAACCAAAAAGAAAAGGCACAAGCATAAAGGATCCCACTTTCTGAAGTACTCAGAAGTCTCATGGCTGATGAGAAGCCAATCAACTCCTCTGTGCTTCAGCACCAGTTTCAAAATGCCACCTCAACTGCTTGTTTGAGCTCCTCCAGTGTGACAGTGGGAGCAGACACAGATCTGCCAATCCTCTGCTCACAACAGCCTCCTCTCCCATCAGACAATACAGGGGCAACTCATTTTTAAAAGATGCACCTCTGCAATGAGCAGAGATTAATAGAAGCGAGACTACAGAACTCCTACGAAATTGCACCTGTTAGCATAAGCCTGCACCAAACCTATCCATCTCTTCTGAGGAAGGGGGAGGACAAAGAAAGCCTATGTTTCTGGCTGATTAGACAGAAATTCCCTCCAGCTCTGCTACACACATTTGCTTCCAGATTACCTAAAGCCATCACAAAGAGGTGGGATTCACAAATGTGTTATCACCATCACACATCCAATAACCAGCACCCCCCCGTGTAGGTGACAGCCCCGGGAAAGCACTCATGAAGACCCAGACATCCACTTCAAAGGAAAGGCCAGCAGAGCCCTCTGAGCACCTGATGCCTCCTCAGCCCTTAATTATTCATAGTAAGGCTTTTCCCTTCCAAAGATATGCTCCACTAAAAATGCTGATGCTACTTGGCTCCAAACCTGATGCATGGCTCATTCTTGCTCTCTGATAAATGGGAGTATTAATGCAGATCTGGGAAGCTAAGCTTCAGCAAGGTCTTTTCTGAGATTTGTTGAAGATGTTGAGTCTCTGGAGACAGAAATTTACCTTGGAAATTCCCCTTGGGGATCAGCCAAGGGATGTTCAGGCTCTGGTCTACTCACAGTGACATTTTTCACAGGGGAGGAAGCAGGAGGAATGAGCCACGTTAAAGGTTATGCAGGCTTCACATAAAACACTGTTTATTCTCTGATGAAAAGGACCACTGGGGACATCAGCAGGCCCTGGTAAAAAGCACAGTCCCAGTTTAATCAAAAGATACACAAAGCACCCAGCTAAAGCCTGCTGAAGGTGTACTTAAGCATTTGTTAGCAAAGGAAGCACCAAGAGACTGAGGATCTCTTCCAACAGCAAACACCAGGCATATGTCAGTTTTGCAGCCTGTGTATGTCCAGCACATTTCCTCTGAAGAGGGACATGGATTTATGTCCCTCCAGCTGAAAGGAAGAAGATAAGGAAAATAAAAATGACATGCTGGACCATCAGACCTTTCTTTGGAAGGAAAATACCTACTCCTCTCCAGCCTACCCAGAGTCCAAGCTTCTCAGCTTTGCCAGGTGCTTCCAGGGAGATCTCAGCATGATGATGGTGAGAAGAAAGAGCCTCAGGAACTCAGGACCAGGGTTATTAGTAAGACTATGGGAATCCACAGTCCTGCCTCCAGCTCATGGTCACTCCTCCTACCACACACAGCACAAGCCACCTCACTGTCCCTTTTAATTCTCATCTCCATCACAGACAAGAATTGCTCCAAATCCATTTTATAGACGCATTTATTGAGGAAATACCAGCCAAGCCTCTGTTAATTATTCTAGGAGGAGATTTGCCAATCAAAGGTCATGAGTCAGCAATCCAGCAATATTTGTGAGGTGTGATTACCATGGAGCTATTACACCCAAGCTAATTTTAAAAGAACATGGAAGGGACAAAGCAGGCAATGTGTGGTGGGTTTAGTTGTGCATGCAAAAACCTTACTGTAAGGAGTCAATTGGCATTGTTGACTGGCACCAGAAGGTGTTTCTGCACCATCATGAACAGCTACAACCTCCCAGGAGGACCCAAAGGGCTGTACAACACCTGCTCACACCCATATGCTTGCGGGGTACTCGGCAATATTGTGATGAATACAAGGGAAACAGAGCCTGCTCCAGGTTCTCAATCACCCCAGTGCTGAAGATATGGGAAACCACTCAAAACAGGGGGTTGGCAGGGGTTTTCTAGAAGATCTTTCTCTCAGAAGCTGCTTTTTAAGGAAGTACTTATGGGGGGTTTTCATTCTTGCACTAGGTTTCTGAGCCTCACTTGACTTTGACCACCTCTCTAATGGCTCTTGTAACCAGCCTGGAGGGTGCAATTGCTTGGGGAATAAGCCAAGTGTAAAGGTAGGGATGAATTTTTCCTGCTACAATGCAGGAATTTGAAATTTGGGAGAGAGAAGGGAATAGAAAATGAGAAGAAAGGAAAGCGAAAAGGAAAGGGAAAATAAGAAGGGCAAAGGGGGAAGGAAAGGGAAAGGGACCTCCCTTGCTAATGCAAACAAAATAAACCAAAAACTCCTAGAAGAACCGAACTGGGGAAACCCTTCCTGACACAGCCCAGCAGCTCTTGTCCCCTGCAGCTTTACAGGCATATGGAAGCATTTGACATCCTGGGCCCCTCTTCAGGCTCCAGACCCTGCCACTGCTCGGCAGACACTGACACGTCACCCACTTGTGGGACACCACCAGCCCTCCCCTCTGGCAGCAGGAGAGCTCCACAGGCTTAAGAAACTTCAGCCTAAAACTGAATGGGTGGAGGGGCAGCTAGCAGAAGGGAGAGGAGGAGAAGGACACAGCAAACCATTTTGCTCATCCATCATCTCTGGCAGCAACCTTCCCCCCTTTGTGAGTCAACCCTAAAGGCTTGCAGCCCAGATTCCTGGTACATGGCAAACAGATTATTTACAAAGTAACTACTCAAATACTATTTTCTGGCTGGTCAGTTTATTTGAGGTGATTTTTTTTTTCATTCTCCCCTGTTTTTTAAAAGGCCCATAAGATAAAGCACAGCCATGGGAAAGCATCTGTTCATTGCAGAAATCACCTGGCATCAGATGGGCAGAGATTTTCCCAATGCCCCAGGAGGGTCCATGCCCAGTTGGCACTCCTTTTAAATGGAAATAGCAGATTATTTTAATTCCTTCAGTGGCCTTGAGAAATCTCAGCCAACCCGACCAAAAGCCTGCCATGGTCCGATCCTACACCAGCCTCCCTGGTGAAATCCCAACAGCCAGGGGATGCTCAGTGGCGATGGCAGGCAGCTGCCACATCCCTCACACCAAGGGCAGGGCTGGCCCCATGCAGATCATCCCCAGTGCACAATTTTGGCTGGAAAACCACAGAGACAGCTGGGGAATGCCATGATTCAATGCTCCCCCGCAGCAACCCTGGTCTCTCACCAACAACAGATACAGAAAAACAACTTTCCCTCCTCAAGGGTCAGCCCACACCACCCCAGCACATACAGCTGCAGCAGAGAGCAAGCACCATGTAAAAACCTCTATTTTCCTGAGGATGAACAGGAAAAGCACCACATTACTGTGTTGTCCCCAGCCCCTTCACCAGGTTTTCAAAATGGGAATTAAGAGTCTTTCTTTTAGGCTGAAAATCTTGCCAGACCACTTTCAGCACCAGCTCCTCCCTTCCCTCATCATCTTCCAGGGGCTGTATTAGTTGTGAACTGGGGATGATGTACTCATCTCCCACTGCAATTATTAGCTGGTGCCTGGCAAAACTGCCTGCGGAGATTGTTGTAATCTACATGTTCTGTATCATCTTGCCTTAAAGGAAAGCAGGATAAATATATTCCTTTACAGGGTTGCAGAGAGCACTCTTTTGGCAGAAGTTACGTAAGAAAGGGGCAGGTTTTACATTTTTGGGAAGTAACTAGTTCTGGTCCAGAGATTAGCAACACAAGATGGAGAGGCACTGCATAAAACTCTGCTGTCTCTCCATGTTCACTCAACCCTCACAGTTCTAGGTGAGAGAGTTACTTGAGAAGAAACACCAAGACACCAAATCACCTTCATGGCCATTTTTGCTCCAAGTCAGGTTTTAAAGCAATCAGCTTTCTGCAACATAGACACCATGGACTGCAAAAAGAATAAACCTCCCAAAAAGCCCATTTCCCATGCACAATTAATTGTTCACTATTGTTCAGACTTGACAGCTCCATGCAAAATCCCTCCTTACCTCCATTTGCTCCCCTCCCTGGAGCAACCTTCAAGGAGAGGAATGGACATACCTTACTGCCCAGGTACCCCAAAAAATCATAGAAAGGTAGAAAATAGGTTTTGGGTAGTTTCTGTTTCCCATGGTTTAAGTGTTTCCTCCTTATTATGAGCAGCAGACACTTTCCAAAGAGAAGCTGCTCCTGTGGGATGTGGGAGAAGCCAGGCAGCATGCAGGCAACCACTGAGGCATCAGCTTTCCCTTCCAGCTCTTCCATGGAGAACTTGTCTGTATGGCACACTCTGCCCACCTCCTGGCAGCCACCCCCTCAAGGGAAGAGCCACTATGTCCATGCTTGTGGAGCTTCTACCAAAAGGAAGGGGAAAGATTTTGCTTAGGAGACTCAACAGGAAGCAGAAAGCCCTCAGGGCTGTCACAAGGAGCTCTCTTATCCTGGTACACATTGCATGGGTGAGTTCTGGTTTTCTCAGTTCTTTCCTCAGGGGTGACATGGCATCAGACTTTCTCAGCTTCGGATTCTTTTTGTTTTCCTCCACACAGAAAAATCAGGAAACAGCCTCACAGACTCCTATTCCTCACTGAATCCTAGGCTCAGGCATGTTGGACTGGTTTGTGAGATCTATGGAAAAGACTCCAACCTAGTCCAGGTTATGGCTCCAGGGAGGCAGAAACCCCTCTGGAGATGTATATGAAACATTACAATCTACCACACAGCTCAACAAGCTTCCAGAACCAATGGAGCTTCAAATTCCGTGGTAACCTTAAACTCATTAACAACGCTCCCTGCAGTAACAGCTGTGTGTCACAAAGCCAGCTCAAAACAACTTTACAGTAGCTAATAATAAACCCTTTCCCAGGGCTTGAAACTAAAAATCAAATGGAAAAAAAAAAAAAAAAACAACAAAAAACCAAAAAACAACAACCACCACCAAACCCTCAAACTGTGTAAAATGCTTTTTAGAAATACTCATCCTCTGCCCTCCAGTAAATTCTGTCTTATTTGGGGTCAAGCATTTGATCACCCCTCATTTATTTCAGAAGCAGATTTGAAGTAACATTTCTAAGAAAAGGAATAGCTCCAGAATTAAGCAGGGTCAAAATTCAGAACCAAAGCCACAGCAAGTCTCTGTCTGCATGCAGCTCACTCCTCTGTGCACATTTAATAGTGCTATTTGCAGTGCTGGCAGAGCACTCCAGCCCACTTTAGCTCTGACTTCTCCTGTACCCTCTCTGCCTACATTAGAAAACCCCCTTTTGCCCTCTCCTGTAGAGCCACTCATCATTCCTATGAAGACACATCACTGCACAAGGGCATTTCAAATGCATTTAATGAAGCCAGCTTTGAACTTTACCCCTTACATCCATGCTGGCAGCACATTGCTCAGCGATTTTTCCACTGAAACTGAGTATCCCAGCTACTGTCTCTAGTTCACATACTTTCCAGGCAGACAGAGAAAAAAATGCCATCACAACCATCTTGTCCTTACCCATGATGGTCACATCATACTCGATCTGGAAAAGTGCCTCCTGGCTGCACTGCCGCAGGATGTTGAGGGCATCAGCGTGGGTCATGCTGTGCAGAGGAATCCCATCCACACTCAGCAGCCTGTCCCCAATTTTCAAGGACCCTTCCCTGTAAGAAACCAAAGGCAATTCTCTTCTTTATGTATATATATTTATTTATATTTAGACAAATAATCTATATATATTTATATAAATATCTATAGTTATACATATGTATTTGCTGTATATTATCTATATGTAAATATATGAGCATATATAATTTGTGTGTGTACACACCATGCATGTGTGTGTGTATATATATACACACACATAATAGGAAGTCAATTACTCTCATCCTGTAGGATGGAACACTCCTTGGGACAATAGTCTGGGTTATTTATAGTACCAGGCCCATCATATTAAATTACCAGCATGAGAGTAGATAGACTGGCTCCTGCTTTTCAGCACAGCACCAGCGATTCAGCTGCACAGGGCTAATGAAGGGGCGAGGCAGTTTCTGCCTTTAACTACCACATCTGTGCTGGGAGCACCGTGCCCACCTCCCCAGGCAGCACAGGTACCACACCACCACTGGCATCCACACCACCAGCACGAGGAGCCCCAGAGAGGCACCAGGAGGAGGACAGGAAGGAGACACCCTCAGGAGTGCAGGGACAGCTGCTGTCCCGTCCTGTGAAGGCAGATGTGGAGGTGGGACACAAGCAGTACCTGTCTGCAGGGCCACCCGGCCTCACGTAGGTGAGCACCAGTGGCCTGGACTTGTGCCAGTCTTCATGGGCTCCCCCTGTAATCAAACCAGGAAAGCCGTAAGTCACCCGAGGTTTGAAAGTCTGAGTGAGAGCGCTGGGAAAGAGACATTTATCACATAACAGCTGACACAGCCTGCCAGGAAAATGACTGCCCTAGATTAGGCAGCCGGCAGTCCTTAGAGGCAGCAGGGGATCCTCTCCAGGACATGCTTTCCCTGCTTAGCTGAGGTTTTGTCATTCACCTTCTTACTTTTCCCGCTTTCCACCTCTGCTTCTGCTTTTCACTGGAGAAGCTACTAACTGCCACTAAAGGACATGAAAGTATTCACACAAACGCCTCTCAGTGTCAGAACAGAAAAAGCTGAACCTTTATTCTCTGACTCCAGTATTTATAGATTCTCAACATTGACCAGGGATTGGATAATCAAGTTACCACCTTCCCAAGCACGCTGGTCATGCAAAACATCCATCAAAAGACGGTTCTTAGAAGGAATGTGATAAACAACTTATGTTTATAGAACTTTCATGGGAAAGTAACTAAAACTATGAAAACATTATCAGAAGGCTTTTCATTTTCAGGGCGACAACTAACCTCTCAGCACAAAGCCAAAGCTGTTGCCTTCCTTGTAGAGGGACACTTCAATGGTCTTGGGAATAATGCCAGCACTGCTTTCTGGCACTAAAAGTAAGAGAGAAAGATCCAGTCACCCCTGATAAACCTTTTCCAACCACAATGCAAAATAGTATCAAAATTCATTCAAACAACACCGAAATTAAAGTCCAGCCCAAAACCCATATTTAATTTTCCCTGCCTGGAAGCAAAAAGAGCCCAACCCAGACATGTGAACCTTTATCAGAGCCTACCATCAGGTTTTAGGATGATTTCACCAGCTCAGTGTTGTGCATCTCCCCTTAAATTTGTCTTGGTTAATACCCTGACATTCAAGTAAAACCATCTCGTTTATCAACTGGCTTTAATGCATTCAGCTTTTCTCAAAAGCTTCTGCCACAGATAGAAACTTATTAAAAAAACAGCAGCAGCATAAGGAATCAAGTCACCAGCTGACCTTAAAGAAAATGAAAATCCCAAATCCTCAACGCATAAAGTTGGGTTTTTTCCCTTACCTCTCATATTTTGGATTTTCAAAAAGATTAAGTGAATCCTTTAAACTGATCCTGGGGGCAATTCAGTATTTTTATGTTAAATACACAGTACTATTTGTACAAAATACAAAATATACAAAGTAAAGAGAAAAGGAAAGAAATTGTTTTCATTTCTTGATGTCCCCTATTATTTAATGATTTATTGCACTACTGCAGTGAATATGAGACAATTTCCCAGTCTTCTCCACCCAGAACTGCACATGACATTTCAGCCTTGTCCACTCTGAAAATTCTTAATTTTCAAACCAAGTGCCACAAATGGCCACAAGGATAATCAGAAAATAAAAGACCAAGAACTTGACTCGGAGATGAAGGCTGTCCTAGACAAATCCATTCTGCCATTTCTCTTTGCTCAGGAGAGGAATTCTGAAGCAAACCTCTCCCCTGTCCTCACTGACCACACTCATCCTGACTGCCAAACACTATGAGGGCTTGCAACCTGCAGCCAAATTAGTCTTAGCCCAGCCATTAGGCTAACCCAAAAGACATACAATGGAGGCATTGTATGCCTGCAGGCAGACAGCCCTGGGGACCAGCTACAGTGAGGCCAAATAAATCTCCAAACACCATCCCCACTTTGCTCCTGCTGCTGTGCAGACAGCTAACAGGGACACAGCATAGAAATACTCCAGAAGGGAGTGCTCAGGGCAGGGGAAGGCTCCCAGCCAAGGGGTGATATACAAATACCAAGGAAAGGGTATAAAGTATCCACAAATGAGTTCAGAATCCATCCAATTTCTGTCCTAAGCATTGAAGTATGAAGGGCTGCAACAGCCTCTCATAAGATCAGTGGGAGCTGGGAAACCTAAGCCAGTGCTAACACAGGGTTTGGTTTATTTATGAAAGAGATGATACGACACAGTAGCCTGAAAACTAGACTTGGACTTGCAAGATCTCTTTCAAAGCAGGAAATTACGAAGTGGGGACAAAAAGCCAAACCCATAAGCACAAGCTATTGAATTGCACAGTATTTCTGCTCTTTGCTCAGGGAAAGACAGAGAGAGAGGGGTGATCATACACAGCAATAACAAACCCTCACAGCAGATAAAAGCCCACAATGAATTGGAATCAGGAAATAATTGACAATTCCCTGTATTTTGCAATGCTTCTTTGTTTGGATCATTCATAAACAGCCCAAATAATCTCCCTGGAGAGAAGTCACTATCTCAGTGTGCTCTTCCTGCTCATTTAAAGCTGAGGACATCTCACATTGCTGCTATTGATTGAGCTGGCACCACTCTTTGGCTGGTAAATATAGTTTATCAGATTCCTGATAAGGAGTATCACAGAGAATATGGAATACCATGGAGAAAGGTTAAAAGTGGTCGTCTCTAGGGAGCATAAGAACAAGTCTTCTATGAGATCATGCAAGACTTGAGCCACTGCTGGCTTTACCAAAGGTGTATGCAAAAGTCCACTAACATTTACAGCAGAAGAGAGGGGAATGATGGATACAGATTAATCCATTCCAGATTAGATTTTACTCTTTTGGGCTTTACACAGTCATTTCTGTATTTAATATTTTTCATCTAAAAGCAGCAGCTACAGCAAAGCTCTGAAGTGTAAAATATCTTCCTATCTGGGGCAAAATGTTAGATTTTATTAGCTTTGTTTTTCCTGGCATTTTATTTTTAGTTGTTTTATTTCTTCTGCCCAATCATTATCTGATTGATCTGGGTAAATGAATGAGTAATAACTGGGAGATTGTATTCACAATGGAAAGACTGTGATGAGAAACTGTATCGAGGAATTTGTTTTAACCAGAAACATCAATTATCAAAACAAATGGGGGCAAGAGCATATAGTCTCCCATGACAGGACACAAACCCTGTTAGTTGGGTTTGCCATCCTCTGCCAGCATCCCTCAGCTGGAAAGATGATAGCTTCAGTTTCCCTTCTAAAAACATGTAACACTTCAAAGAATCCTGAGGACTAACAGCACTTGCCACAGTTCAGAAAAGGGCATCTGGTAATACATGTTTAAGACTGAATTAAATCTCCCGTAGCCGTACTCCAAAAGGGAAAAAAATAAGCTGAAGCAGCATTAGGAGGCAGATTGGCCTGTGCTGTCGAGTCACTCCAAGGCAAGACAGACCTAATCAGCCATCCCCTGCCAGTGTGCATGAGCAGGCACCCACTGTGCTGGAAAAAGTGCTCTGCTCCGACCGCACACAGCTCGGCAGCCTCCACCGCCCGCACGAGCAGATGAAGGCAACAGCAAAATGCCCCTGGACACTGCTTGGCCACAGCAGCTCTGCACTAGCAAGTCCATCTGCACTCCAGGACGAAAGGAGCCAAGAAGAGAGAGCAGCATTGTCCAAGAGGCACCCACCGGCCGGCGGGAGCTCGTACTCGACTTCCAGCACCACCCTCTCGCCCACGTTCTTCAGCAGGCTGATGATCTCGTCGTGCCGCAGCTTGGTCAGGTTAATGCCATTCACCGACTTGATGTAATCCCCCACGTTCAGCTGGTCACTCCTGCAAAGAAGTAAAATTAAAAGCAGTGGTGGCACAGTCTCCAGCTGGCTGGTAAGTGTAGGACTTTCCGAACAAGCCAGCAATGCTGAACTGATGTCTGCTGTCTGATTACATGCGTCTGCTATCACAGGGAAGTGCTAGAATGGAAGCCATCTATCTTTCCTGGTGGCAAATGTTCAGATCTGTGCATACAGCAACAATCACAGTGTACACGTTCACAACCTCTCTGCTGTTGCTCAGTTCCCATTCATGTAGAGCAATCAGTCAAAGAAAAGCACACCAAGAGCTGTCTGAAAAAAATCCAGCAGGGAAGGAGAAAACAACTTTCCTTTTGCCTGTTTTCTGCAAAATTGTTCAATTACTCTTTCCTTTTTCCTGCTTCTTGGAGCCTTTCTTTGCCCATTTTTTTTCTGAGCCAATAATGCTACTTATACAGTCAGTATTCAGAACAGATACAATATTAAACCACTTAGCTTGATCAAGATGTATTGTACCATGCAGCTCTCCTGACAAGGCTGCCTAATTTCACAGAATCCCAAATAGCCCTACACAAAATTTCAGAGCATAATTGCACAGAGCATAGGAAATAACTCAAAATAGAAGATGTTCTCCTTCCTGAAGCAACAACTTTGCATTCTGGGGCACTTGAAAAAGGGGTCTCGGGTGCCAACTACTTTAATTATAACTCCATTCAGTAGCTGGAACAAGGAACTATTCCTCTCCATTCCTGCTGTGCTCTCCACACCCCATTTCCATTTCTCACCTTGCAGCCAGTCCTCCTGGCCTCAGATTGGAGACTCTTGGCTTTCCATCTTTGTCTGTGCCACCTGAAATGGTTAAACCAAGGGTGCTGCCTTCTTTCTTAATCAGCTCCACGATTGTGACCCCTCTGAACTCCTCTGTAAGATCAGGAATAAAGACAAACTCAGTGGAAGTCACATTCCTCTCAATCCCAAAGACATCCTTTTCCTACAGGTGGTGGGAAAATAGACTTGGGATGATTTGAACAACTAGCATGAAGAAAAAGCCTCTGTTTATTTGAAGTTAAGTTGTAAAATAGAAGTGTGTCCTGGTAGAGCCACAGCAATGTTTGCATGCAGGTCTGGCAGGCAGGACCAATGAAGACAAGGCAGAGTAGCAAGGGCTTATGAGAGAGTAAAAACATTGTGTTTCAAGGTGCTGGAGGCAGTAGAAAACTTCAAAACCAGGGTGATGGGAGCTCAGCAATGGTCCAGGGGGACCACCTCAGGAACTATGTTTGATACAGAGTGGGGAGGGCATTAACAGAGCTGTCAGGGAGTCACAGTTACACAGGAGGAGGATGCTCCTGCATCCAGGTTCAGGAGATGTAGACCTGCAGTAGTTGCCTGGAAGGACCAAACAGGATGGACCTTAAAATACAGTGATAAAAAAAACCTATCATGAGACATCAACATAGTTGGGAGATACAGAACAGAGTGTAGAGAGGGGTGGGATCCTGCCATGATCAGGGGGTGGAGGGGGAGACACAACCTTCATTCATTCACAGCTGTTTGTCCACCCACCTGTACCTAGTCCAAGTCAAACTCCCTATTACCACCTCATCTACAGCTGGAATCGAAGACACGAGTCACTTTGACACCATGACCTGTTCCACATGCACTGCCTGCCATCAAACACAGGTCCATGTCTAGGGGATGCTCACCCCACACCTGCTGCACCAGTACTGCTTCTCTGGGTGCTGCAGGCAGTGCACATTTTACCTTCTCTAATCCAAGACAACACTCCTAGCTGTCCAGCACCTACACTAAGGTGTGGTGACACCTACACCTACCTGGTGTCAGTTTTGATCTCATCACAGATCACGTCTGGGTTTTACAGAAAACAGGGCCCCTAAATTATTCCAGCTCTTGGATTTGGCATAGAAAGGGCAGTAAGTAAGCAGGAGAGTCAGTCCTGGCCTAAGGAAAAGACCAAGAGCTTAAAAGACTTGGCAAAAGGCAGCTCTGCAATACTGCACACAACAGACCTCACACCCCTCAAAGGGGAACTAGCCCTGGGGCAAATAGGATGACATCCACACCTTGTCAGAGCCTCCTCTCAGAAGCTTCTACACAATTTGTCTATAGCATTATCCATCCACCTCCACTATGTCAGTGCACTGAAATCTTCCATGATTTTACAGGAGGAAACCAGTCACCCTCACACAAGGTGCCTTTCTCCAAGGCCGTGAGGAGAAGGTGGTGATGGGCACTGGTAGCACACAACAGCAGCCCCACAGATGTGGACATGATCCCATGCTGAAAATGGCCCAGATGTTGTTTGCACAGCAAACCTTACCAGGCTTTAATATGCTCTGTTTGGAGAGGGAACATTTAAAACCTATTGCACACTGACTTCCAGAGCAAGGCAGTGCCCCTTAAACAGCATATTGACACAGAAGGTCCACACTGGTGCAGGGCCTCCTCCATCCATCCAAAACATGGGGTCATTTGGCACTGTGGTGCCTCATCACCAGCACTTTGCTCCTGTTCAAAGCCACCAGGACACCAGAAATTGCACCTCACTTAGAGTCCTGCCACGCACTACCTGTTTTGTAAAGCACTTCCAAGAATAATCTGTGCACTTGATTAATGCGAGTAGGGAACCTCTTTGCAATCTAACTCCAGTCTGGCAGGCGCTTAGGCACTGCTGGGCACCCGTTTAATGTGGCACTGGAAGCTCCTTGTAAAAATGTCAGGTCCATAACACTTCTGCTCTTTAAACTCAGTTTTGATCCCTTGCCAATTGCAGTAAGTTAATTTTCAATTCACCAACCTGGGAGCCCTGAGACTGCCAGAAACTTGGGGAGACTCTCCACCGTGCTGGAAAGAACAACATCCGGCACCATCCTGCAAATTTCCTCTCAGCTACAGACATGACTGATCAACACAGATGGTGCCACAAGGGGAGATTATTAGCTTTTCAATGAGGTTTAATTTTGATCCTTGATAAGTGTTTAAAATGAGAAGTCCCAGAGTGCAATTACCCATTGTTATGGGTTCAAAGAGAAATCACTGCTCCAAAAAAGGCAAGTCCCTGAGATCAACGGATCAAGGTCAGCGATAAGGAATTTTGACCCTTGCCTCTACAAACCTACTGCCACTGTCACAGGCCCATATAGTGTAAACTGAGCTGGTTAAGGAGGATCTTCTAGACATAGTCTTTAGGCACCATATATGAGCAGTCTTGGATTTATTCTACTGGCATATATGACTGGATTTTGCATCCCAGGGCAGGAAGAATACACATTAATTTTTCCTTCCCCATTGAGATACCTTGAGCTGGGGTTGTTGGACACACTGGCTCTTGTGAGCCTCTCCCATCAGGGCTGCTCTACAGTGGTAATGGGATGCACAGTATCCTTTGGAGCAAGTGCTGAATGATGAAGCTATAGCAGAAGGGCCTCACTTCCTTCCCATTACCTAGAACACACTAAATCAACCACGTGACTGGGTCATTAGCAGCCAGAAGTTAAAATGAAGCCCCTGGCTTTCCTAGGAAGGAGATGAGTTGTCCAAGGCAGCCCGTCCAGGACTGCTGGAGTGCTGCTGGCACATGAAGTCCAGGACCAACAGAGGAAAATGTACTACCACTTCACTTCCTCTTCACAGCCCCTGGGGGGTTTCTGCATGGGAAGGTTTATCTCACACAAAAATGTGCTGTGACTGACTAAATAGCAAAACAAACTTAGTCAGATGTGGGAAATTCAAAGCTTGCCAGACATTGCCAGTCTCCCTCCCTGCCTGATGAGCTCAGCTACAGCAGTGTTTCTTCCCCCTCTCCTTTGCTGCTGATTTTTTCCTTTGAGAGTGTCAGTCCAGCACGGGAATAAAGTCCTTTCCCAGCTCCCTGTAACTACTGTCAACAGGACCACACAAGACAAGGATTGTACCTGTAATACACCATTCACTGAGACCAGTTATCACCATCCATTTCTGCCCTCCAGCAAAAGCCTTGCTGATAGATGCACCAAAATTAGTGTTTTGAGGGGTTTTACCCATTTTAGGGATATCCAGGTAAAGTGTAATGGATGCCCCAATGTTTTGGAGCAGGAGCTGATCCCCACCTTTACCTGGGATGCTTTGCCTCCTGGAGACCAGGGCTGCGTCCATCCCACCAGAGTCCTTGCTCCCCTTTGAGTAAGGGCCATCATCTGTGAGCAGAGCAAACACAGAAGCTGAAATTAGTACCAAAAGCCACAAACAACTGAACCAAACCACTTTAAGAAATAGTCCTGGTGACACCAAAATTGGAATCACATCTGTGTCACAGACTGCAGGCAAGAAAAAACATTACCAGCCCCAGATTTGCACTGCACCATGTGGGCTCTCACCTTGTAGAGTGGAAAAAAGGAAGGCAGTAACATTATCTGATTTATTCTTCTTGGAGCTAATCTGCTAGGAGAGAACAAAATTCCCTTACTCCTGTAATTAAGTGGAACAGCTGAGGATAGAGAAAGCTGGGGTATTTGTCTCACAAGTTTCAAGCCTGTCATTATGCTGGTGAAGAAACTTACTGTCTTTGGAAATGCAGTTATACATCAGGACACTAACAGGGCACTAAATCACTATACTTGAGTGAAATTGCCTATTCTTATAGATCCCATTATTTCAGCCACATTTTCCTGCTGCTGTTCCAGCCTCTGTACAATAGAGAGATCACCTTATTTTAAGTGATTAAAAGAAAAAAAAAAGTTAGAGTGAAGAGGGAATAGCATTATACACTGTAAATACACTGTCCAGCATAAGCTGAAATTTAAAGCATCTAAATACCTTTGCATTGTCCTATTGAAAAACTGCTACAGAGTTATCACAAACCTTGTCTGCAGACAAGGCAGCATGCTTCTACAGATCTCATTTCCATCCATCTGAAATGTCTATTTTTATGGCATTTTATAAAAAGCTGGTGCTTCTCCAATCAATAATTTCCAGTAACCATGTAGTACCAAATAACTCCCATTCTCAGTGACCACATTCTTGAATTTTTCAGTAGCTGTGAAGGTTTAGAAGTTGTACATGATAGTATAAATATAGGTTACTGAAAACTTTATCCATTTATTCCTGTCCACAGCTCTTAAGTAAGTTACATTTAAGTTACAAAGAAGTTTTTGTCCCTCTCCATACAAAGTGAACAAAAATTTTAGTTCAGCCCCATTCAAGACAAGGGTCTGTACAGAGAAGACTTAATCCCAATGTTCAGTTTGCTGGCAGCCCGCTTTCCCCATAAACAGAAAAAAAGATGGTGTAAATCTTAGTCTCTCTCACCAGGAGGTTTTTCCTAATATCTTGGTTTACCTTCTCTCTGTCACCTCATGCCTGGCAGAACTGTAGAATCAGATAACAGGGATGGTTTGGGAGTATAAGGGAAGGTGGCAATTCCCAGGGAAGCAGCAGGACAATGCCGATCCAACTGCTCCTTGCCCACGTTCCCAACAGCTACAACCACCCCTTATTTCTTTCCCAAATGCAGCAGCACATTGGAAGAGGAACTCTAAAGCTCAGAAAACCCACCACAAGGTTCCTTTTTCAACACTGGAGGTAAATGTGCAAAAGGCACCTGCAACGTACCCTGGGTCACCCAAGGCTGGAGCTTCTCGCTGGCACCGGAGCCTCAGCGTGCCTTTGGTGCCACGGGGCATGCAGCTGCCTTCCACACCAGTGCACTGCTGCCAGCTCTGCCCCCAGGTAACGTGCTCACAGCAGTCTGCTGTGGATGGGATCCCTGCCTTCCTGGGAAACCACTCAAGATGGTTCAAAGCCAGCTCCATAATCTGCTGGCAAACTGCAGCACAGAACCATCTGTTTCACATAAACACACCGCCCCGGAGCAGTCAGTCACCAGCACCCTTCTGCGCTTCATTTCCCCATCAGTGTTGATAGGAAACCCCAATTTGCTACTGGTTACCCTCCCTACCCCAACAGCTGCTGGCAGTCATGCCTTGGCTTCCCTTAGAGCAAGAAAGCAGGTTGCCTGTGCATTAACAACAGCTTCCAGCAGCAGCCAAGTGGCCAAGAGCAGTGACCTGAGCTACAGGGCCTGCCCTGTCCCACTGCTCCTGACAGCCATGTCAGCCAGCAAATAATCAGCACCACAGCTCCTCTTCTCCTATTGCCCCCCCCTTCCAAACTCAGTCGATTATGTGAAAAATATTTGGGTTTTTCCCCTCTTTATCTGGCTAAAATGTTTGAACAGGAAAGGAGGCCGCCACACTCCACCTGCTGAAATGGGAACTTTGCTCGCAGGAGCATCCCTGCCGTGTGTGTGGCTCTTTGTTCATCTGCAGCTGATTTTCTGCTCTGCCACTCAAGCTGGTAATAAAAAACTTTTTACAAACTTTTTTGTTTGTTTGTGCAAGGAGTTACATTTTTGGCCTTTTTAAAAAGAAACTCCCTTTTGTGCTCTCACTTATTTCCTCTGCCTAGCGCAGCACCAGTTTGGAGGAGAGGCAGGTAACCAGCCTGATTGCTCAGCCAGCCAAAACTGCAGCACAAACCCAAGCACTAAAAATCCATGAACCTCTCTTCTCCCTAAAACCGGGGAAATAACTCTCTTTTTTTAACACTGTGCAGGTTTTTTTTGCAAGCAATCCGTGCTAGATCTATTAGAGTTGAATTTATCAAGCTTTATCTCTCACACTGAGAGGGCCAGAAATCTTCCAAAAAAAAGATTGTGCAATTGATGGTTTTCAAGCAGCGATGGTAATGCTGGCTTTAGACCTTTCAGAAAAGCTCACCAAGTACATAAGACTCTCAATAAAACTGAGATTGCAACACTTTCCATATATTGATCCCATGGGAATCTGTGGCAACATACGAAGTTCCTGTAATCCTTTTACAAGAGTTTTTACTATTTACGTGCCTTAATCTTTGCATATCACCAGAGACAGAAGAACTTCCGAGTCCTACACCTTCACACAGAGCTTTGAACTCTCCTCCTGTGCAGAAGCAGTGCAGAACAATGATACAGTCAGTGTACAGTATACTCTGTACAGCAACAGTAAATAAGAGACAATCCCCATCTCATTCCTTCAGAAACAAACTGAAAGATAAAGGAGCAAGAAAAATCTCCATTCTTTCACTGGGGGGCAAGAATAAAGGAAGGATGGGCAGACTCCACTACCCCTGCAAGCACAGGCAACAGGATCTCCTGACATCAGTTAGCTGCCAAGCCAAACTCTGTTAAAATGGGGGGAAAAGGGCTTCCTTGGAAAAAGCACTGATTTAGGAGTTCATTATCCCTGACCGTGGAGGGGAAAAGGAAGGTTTGGGGTATTTTTTCATTTTGAAGAGCTATTAGTCTCTGTTATTAGCAGAGATCACCTCTTAATGAAAATGAGCATTGGCTAAATCAGATTCTGTGACAATTAGGCTGCTGTCTGCAAGTTGTTCAGATTCCTGGATCACTTTAAGACAGTTCCTGCAGAGAAAGTGCATTAATCTTGTGGGAAGACCAAGAGGTAAAACCTCCCATTTGTTTAATGGAAAAAAGACAGTTGGAGACACTTATTTTGCTACAGGGTAATTGCATTCCTTGTTTAGAGAAATGAATACCAACCAGCATTAAGAACCAAAAGCTGTTCATACTAAGGCAAGCCGGAATTTTTTTTTTGCTGGAATAAAAGCATGAGGCTGGAAGCAGAAATCCAAATGACTAAAACTAATTGCAATTTGATCCATTTTGAGGAGAGTTATTTCTGTAAGTCAAGGGAGGCATTTATCTGTAGTCAGGCAAAGAGCAGCCAGGGGTACACAAGCGTGGGTCAGGCAGCTAGTGATGATTCAAACTGTGGCTCTGGGAGCAAACCTCCAATGCCTGGGACTTTAAAGATCTCTGAGTGCCTGAAGATGCAGACATGTACTTCAAAAACAGACTGTGATCATCTAGCTGCATCTCTAGGCATCTCATCACCTTTAAAAAGTTGATCTATTACCAGAAGGAGGGGAGGGGAAAAGTGATATATCCATGCACACCCATTCTGAATCTCAAATTGGTTTTTAGATCCCACATGACACAGCCCCCACTACAGCCTGGCCAGGGGCTGGACCATCATCAGAGGACAGTAACACAATCCTTCCCACTCTTCCAGGCTGGCACTCCACATGGCAGCACACCCAGGGGCATCTCATGCACCAGTGATGGATTTGGACCTGATTGCAAGGCTGTACCCATCTGCCCCTCCAGCACAACTCCCCGAGGGCAGTTTGGGTTATTCCAGCACCACCACAGCAGGCTGGGAACAGCAGTGTCACTGTCAGCTCTGCACAAGAGCAGCACAGCGGTGGCTTCCCATCTTCAAAGCACTCAGCCTTTAACAGGAGAGACAAGTAGATCCAGAGAGCCCAGGACAGGAAAAAGAAAAAGCTGGTTACAAACAGACTGCATGATTTCCTGAAACTACTTAATTACAAAGTTCACTGCAGAGCAAGAGCTCCTCCCACGTGTCTGCTTCAGACAAGAGTTGTTTGCATGAAGGATCCCACCTTCCCCAAGCCTTCCTCAGCAGGTGGCCTGAATTTTCTTCTGCCCATCTAAATCCACAGCTCCTCAGGCCCTTGGAAAACCTGTATATGAGTTCAGTATAACCAGTACAGCTGCTCAGTTCTTTTCCCCTCTCTAGAAATACAGTGCTTTGACTCTGTATCATTAAACTTAATAAATAAATAGAACCCCAGGAAACAGATGAAACACATCTATCAGTGATCTCTAGACTGCTTTTCCTGGAATACTGCAAAAGTTGAGCTAAAGCATAATCCTGCCCTACATAAACCTAATCCAAGCATATAGCAACAAACACACTAAATCCTTAGACAAGATAGTCCATGCTCCTGTGCTTAAAACAAGAAAACAGAAAGTTACTTTTTCTTTAGGATTCTGCACCACAATTTCATTTTCATCACAATGATTTTAGCTTGCTGCATTCAAAAAAAAACAAAAAACCCCAACCCAACCCTGAAAGGTCCCAGTGTTTTCTCACTTTTTATTCTCCAGAAGGCGGGGTGGGCTTTTGGGAGAATGCCAGTGAAAAACCCAGTGCCCACCACAGCTCTACCCCTTCCCTCAGCCCAGGGCATCTTCCATGTGACTTTCCCACAGCACTAATCCAAAATCAAGCACTTTGAAATGCCTTTCCCTTCCTTTGCACCAGGAAGATTA